CCGAAAAGAAAGCACATGAAGCATGTGGAAAGGCCTTCGCCTTGCGGAAGTCTTGGCAGGATTCAGCCTGACAGCTCGCCCGAGAAATATGCAGCCCTCTTTGAGCGCTCTATTTCCTTGGCTTCAGCCCGCGTACGCTTAGGACACGCTTGAGTCATGCAACCATGTTGCGCTTGTGACCGGCGACCTCGTAGGTTGTCGGCGTGGTTAGGAAGGGGGAATTTCTGGTTGGACTCTTCGCGTGCAGTGTTGCGGGTAGTGCCCTTTGACCCCTTGTTGGGGGCGGGTTCCCCTACTAAAATAGACTACCGAAAGACGAAACTGTACCCTTGTTCTAACCTCTCTACTGGAGGACCTAGGCTTGTGTAGGCGTTTCACTTTTTTTTGCTGGGTTTCGGTTTCGAGTAGGCTGCGGGCGGCTTAGGGAACTTCCCAGCTCTGGAGAGGGGAAGTTGAAGGCCTCCGGCAAAGCTCTCGATAGCAGCACTCAAACTCGAATCGGAGAATCGGAGTCACTGGAACTCACCGCCAGGCGTGCCATGAGTGCAGGCCTTGGGATCCGCATTGATCAAGAGGCTGGTCTGTTTTTGAGATGGCGCCCTTTTTGGGGATGGTTTTTTAAAGGGAAGCCAAAAGGAGAACCACCATCTTCTTTGTTTTGGGGGAACAAAAACACATGACACTCAACTTGGCAGCTCCCAGCCATGCTCTTAGCTTTTTTTAGTTTTCTAGTTTTTAGTGGGGATTTCCATTCGACCCACTAAACGTGTTTCCATCACTATGTCTTGTTTCCAGTTCACCCACGAAACGTTAAACACTTTTAGCGGAGGATCTGAGGTTCCAGCCCAGTCAAGTGGGTGTTTTTTACTTGGGATTCGCCGGGTCCGGTGTTTCTTTTTTGTGGTTACTTGGGGTTTGCAGGATCCGGATCCGGAAAACCAGCCCTAAGAGGAACAAAACAAACAACACAAGAAAACACCCCCAGACATTTAAACCAAAACAACTGTTACTTGGGATTGATCCGGAAAACCAGACGAAAGAAAACAACACAAAAACGAAGAAACCACGACCAAAAACAAAAAAAACATTGCTTGGGATTCCCCCCACGTTTTTTGGCATCCATCCACTGAGGCGGCCGGCCAGCGCCGCAAGCAGCACCCGCGGCAGCAGTCCAGGCCGGGTGCTGGTTGGTTTGGGGTGGAAGCCATGGATTGGACATGTCCAAACGAGGTGGTTGGAGAGCCAGGGAGCCGGGGGTCTCCAAGTTTGCTTTTAACTAGGCAGCCTTTGGGAGCTGGCCAGGCCATGCAATTAAGCCAAAGAGGGTATAGGAAACTATGCCATGCCTGGTGTGTCAAAGGGAGCCTTTGGGAGCTACCAGGAGTCTTGTAAGGACCAACGGTAAAGGTTGCAACTAACCTTACTGGTGCAAGGGAATGAAAGTTCCAATGGTTGCAACTAATATCAAAGGCCACTTTTATCTTTTAGGCTTGAAGGTCCAAGTGCCTTTGATTCTGCCGTCCCAATCTGCGATTGGACCGCCTCAGCGAGTTTGAAGAGAGTGAAGACGAGAAGTCAGAAATTTTGGCAGGGGAAGGACCGAGTCTGGGTGTTGGGAATGAACCGGAAGGGGATGCCCTTTGAAAGGAAACATAGGGGGAGGGGTTTTCTCGGGGTCGCTCCAATTCTCCTTCCCTGAGATCCATCAACCAAAAAAACACAGCCACTGTTCCCTTTTAGAGCCAAGTGCCCTTTGATTCTTTGCACAGGCTACATGAGGCTACAGTCCCAACCTGCAACACCGCCTGCGAGTTCGCATAGAGGGAAGACTTGTGTACATGTCCAAGATGTTTTGTTTTGAATCACTGCGACAGATGGCGGACTGGATTAGCAACACATCTGCCAGTGGGTGGATGTCACCTCCAAACACGGTGAGGCAAGGCAAGTGTCTAGATGTTTGAAAGGTGCCACGGGCGAGCCAAGTTTTGTGAATATGGCATTAACGTTGAGCCTGACTGAGGGGTTCTGGAAGACTAGTTTCCCTTAAAAGGGACCCTCTGGTGGGTTCCGTGCTAGTGGGCAGGAGCGGACATGATTGAATCGAGTCTCACTCCAAACATCCCCAGCAAGCAACTCCAATCTGCTGCAAAAAGAGTTGTTGAGGGGCCCCTTGCTTTGACGGGTGGTTTCCTATGTCAGGTTTTTCACGTTACCTTGCGTGATGAGATGAAACATGCGAGCAATCGGTATGGGCCGATCGCAAAAACCAATTCAAGTTCGAGAAGGTACCCTCCGTTCACTAGCCTGGAATCCCACCAGGGGGTCGCCTTCTCGAAGTAAAGTGGTCCAAGCCAGGACTCCGCTGTGAGGTTTTTGGTTTGTGGATGGGAGGGTACTACCGTATCTGCTCACTCGCAGGCTCCAGCCGTGGCGGGAGGCGCAATCGAGCACACGCAAGTTGAGTTCCTTGGTTCCATTCTTTCAGGGCAACGCATTTTAGGTACCTGGGCGCTCAAACTTCCCCGAACAATGTGTTGTTGCCCCAAAATTCATGGGGTGAATTCCCTGTGTGTAGGTGAGGGTCCAGGTATGTCTGAGCCTTTGGCCACTTTTGGGTTGCCAGCTGATCGCTTTTTCCCAAAGATCGGTGATCGGCCAGGCCCGAAGCGATCGTCGGAGCCTTGGAGAATCAACAAATTGGGGCAGAGGTACGGATGTTGCCCAATGGTTTTCGGGATGTGACGTTGGTTTCTGTTCTGAAGACGTCTTCTTTGGAATGATTTTCTGGATGTGTGTTGTTCTCGTTTCGGATGTTTGCGATTCTTCAATTGATGAACGGCAGAGGGATAGGGAACCTGGCAGGTTTAAACAAATGGACCGATCAGCATTGCGGACAAACGGGATCGTGCCCTGGTAAAGGTTTAGTTTTGAACCGATCGGCCCTGTGATCAAGATGCCTGAAGACTCGAGAGTTCTTCTAGTTTGCCCAGCTGTTTCTCTCGGGCCTTCGCGCTTTTGTGGAGGTCTGACATTTTCGGGGCGCCCAGACCATAACCCAAACTGCCTGAAACGTATCAGGGTAAGTCAAGACATGACGTGAACCGCTCTGAGTGGATGGTTTTCACCTCCATCCCAGGGGCTTCAAAAGCGAAGGCCGCCGTCCTCCCACAGAGAGGCGCCCTTGGGATCCTCAGCACAGCGTATCAGGGCAGTTTTTTGAGAGGAACAGAGAGAAAGATGGATATTTTTGTTTTTGGAGGGTGCAGGGTGCCCCCTGTTTGTTGTTTTAAGGGAAAAGCTGCAGAAGTTGGCTGTTCGACAAATGTTGCAAGGCACCTATACATCCTAGACACGTTATGGCTCCTTCTGAAATCACCAAATCAACATTGCACTTCCGCTTGACGTTCTCATCCAAGAGTGCCAGCAACCACTTGGCAAAACTCCAGTTTTACTTGACACGTTGCCAACGACAGTGTGAAGTCTTGATTCCTCCTGCCATATTACACCCGACTTTGCTGCCAAACAACATGCAGATGGCAGTATCCACGGAATGAAACCGCCCATTTGTATTCTGCCAAAGTGTTGTTCCCAACATGACGACACCCGCTTCATGAACGCTTGCAACTCCGGCAAAGAATGAACACGTAATATCATCCACGAAGCGGCGCAGCATCAGATCAAGTCAGGGGCAGCCAACTCATTTCCTGTGAGACATAGGCTGGTTTCCCTTCTGGCTTGCCTACCTGAGCAGGCGATCTGTGTCGCAAAGCGTTTCCATTTCAGTCCGACAGGCTGCCTTGTATTTGTTGCAGTTTCGAGGCTCATGCGGCGACTGATTTTGATCGCTGAAGAACCTGACTTGGAGCAGTATGCAAAACAAACAAAACCAAGCAGCGGAAGTCAAGAGGGGAGAGCCGCCGAGACAGGGTGACAGAACCTGCCCCGACCTGTGAACGTTTCTCCAACAGGCCTTGCCTTCCCCCCGTACGGGTTCCCGAATTCAGAATCGGAGCTTCACTTGGTTTGTGCGGAGATGACATCCGATGGCATCCGATGGCCATAGCCCAATGCACAGTGTCACTCACCGCATTCTTTGTGAAGACCCGTGTTTGATATTGCTGTCCAGGTACCCATATACGGGGACCATTCAACGGTTTGGCGCTCCTTTAAAGTTGGGAATATTGTCACCCCATATGATTTTTGATGTGACTCGGCCAGGCTCGGGGTGAGTTTGACACCTGCGACAAGCTGGAGGAAGAGGCAATGGTTTTGTTTGGCAGCTGCTCACGTGTTGCCATTGGTTGACCTGCGGACACGTGGCAAATTCACCAGCTAGGGTTACGATTTTAGTCGTTGGTTCCATTTGCCAAGGTTCAATTTTGGTACATTTATTTGAGCCACAGACATGTATCCGTAGCACGGCACCTGGACGGGGGGGGAGGGGGGGGCGGGATCATATTGCGGGCCCGCCCATGTGGGGCGCGGTGTTGCGGGGCAAGGGGGGGGGGGTTAGGCGGACCGCGGATCTGGATGACCTATTGATAACATATTTTACATACATACCTACCTACGTACCTACATACATGCATGCATGCATGCATACATACATGCATACATAGATACATGCATGCATGCATACATACATACATACATGCATACATACATACATACATACATACATGCATACACATATTGAGTATGTGTATATATATATATATGCTCCCAGCAAAAAAACAAAAACAACAAATAAACTTGTTTTGGCATGCCTCATGGATTGCCAGACGCGCATACCAGTATTGGCACTGTGCAGAACGGAGCTTTGCTGCTCGCAACAAAGAAGACCCTACCTTAGCATTCTGGTTGACGGTCAACCTCTCCTTCAAATACTTCCAGGCTCGATCAACCACTTGTGTCCCAGACTTCACGGTCGTCATGTTCTTCGTGATCGGGTTCTTATGCTTCACGAGCTTCACATAGGCCCCGACCTTCCACTTCCATTGGCCCTTGACTTTGACCCGCTTCTTCCCATGGACCAGCATCCCAGGCACCTTGGTCTTGTAGCTCTTGGCCGAGTCAGTGTGCAGGATCACCTTCTTTTCCTACAACCACTTCTTTGCCAAAGGAGTCCACTCGACTCCTTGAGGGACAGCCTGCTCAAGACAAGTGTCTCCGGGTGGCCTCGTTGGACTATGCCACACTTCTCCCAAACAAGCGGGTTTGTGGGCCCATTGGAGATGCCGTGTCTACATCAACCCGCGGCAACTGCACCCTCTTTTCGTGGATGGCTCTTTCCCTGTTCCGAAGAAGGGCAAAGGCCGCGCACTGCTCAAGAGGCCTGCTATGAAGAAGAACAGGACGTGGGATGCTGTGAACACCAGGACAACTTCACAGGCAGCTGGACCTGGCGGGCAGCGCATGGACCGCTTCAAAAGGAAGAAGTCTTTGACTCGGAGAAGGTCTGGGCTGAAGGTCGATGCTGGCACAGGCATGCCGAAGCACCGGTGCTGTCAGGGGCCGCCTCGCCTCGACATCCGCTCACTTCTGGCCCTTGCCAAAGACGATGTGCTTCTCCTTTGCCTCCACCCATGTTTTGCGAGCGTGACACAGCCTCTCGTCCTTGCCACCATCGGGAAGTAGGAGAGAGCAAGCTAAGCAGTATGCGTAGAAAGCCAAAAGACCTGAAAGCATGTGCGTGCGAGAGAGATGCGTGACACTTCTTTTTCTCAGACACAGGCACTATCCAGACTGCAAATGCAAGAGCCTTTTTCCTGATGAGAGCCGTGCGCAGTCTGTGTTAATTGGCCAAAGAGCCCCGGTGCTATATGTGTCAATCAAGCGCACACTAGTTTGTGCATGCGTACCTTTGGAGGTAGCCACTGTCTCATACAAACTGTGCGAGTATACCACAGTTTCAAGCCACTTTTGCAAAGGGGTTCTCCTCATGCTCTGACTGTTCCTCCTCAGCCTCCTGCACCCGTCATCCAGGACAATGAAAGTCCCGGTGCTCCACACCTTGGCCTTCTTCAAGGCCTCATCCTCGATCTCTCTCTTGACTTTAACCTTTGTCTCCAGCTGCTCGAGGCAGGGCTTGTTTTCCTCACGCCCACGAAAGAGAGCTGGTTTAGTTGCTGGTTGTGCTTGTGCTTGGGGTCCTGCTTCTCTTGCTTCTGCTTGAAGACAAGCTCAAGCCAGGCTTGCTCTTTGCGCACTGCCAATGTCTTTCTGTTGTCCTTGCACCTGCCATACAACATTTTTCCTGTCTGTGTGAGAAAGTCCGGGCCTTCCACAAAGTGGCGTGCCACTTTGTCCTCGTTAACTTCAGAAGGGCGGTAGCACACGAACTTCTTGGTGTTGAGGATGAAGCATGCCCGCTTGAAGATTGCATCCACATCTGCACCAGATGCATCTTTTTCAATGCTAGGCCGGACCATCTTCTTGAAGTCACCGAACGTGATGTGCTGGTTGTAGTCCTTGCCCTTGTTCACGTTCTCGTCATAGGTGTTTGCTGCGAGGGGGCACGGGTCTGGTTCTGAACCCATTTGACTGCGCCCCACCTCGCCCAGCACATAGACTCATGAAAGCCTGCGTCCAGCAAAGACTGCAGCGCTTTGATGCTGAGCTCTGATGAGGTCGGGTCATCCAGAAAGTCGCCAATGGTCACAAGCCCAGTCAAAAAGTCCAACTCAGGTGTGCACCTAACGCAAGGCCGACGGTGGCATTGAAAGAGCTGCTTGTTCCGCCTGTGCTGAGCCATCAGGACACTCCTTCCCAAAGGACTTTTGCCTGCGCCGCTCTCCCCTACCCCAACAGCACCAAGGAAGACTTGTCGAAATCCCAGCCCAGGGAAGGTAGATGTCAAGGGCAGGGGCCAGTCAATTTCCTTCCTGGCAAGTGCACCAACGGATGACAAAGCGCGAAGAGCTTTGTCCACCAGTGCTTGGGGCCAGCCAAAAAATGGGGAATCCTTCTTTCGCAACTCCTTTGTTTGCCAACGAAGTTGCTGAAGATCAGATCCACTTCTGTGGCCATGCCTGGACAGGAAGTCTAAGCCTGCATCAAGGTCCTCATCTTCCAGCTCTCAAAGGCAGCCTGCTTGCGCGGGGTGGTGGCTTGCATGGTTAGCTGGAAGAATCTGAATTGCCTCCCACGCTGTCCATGCAGTACTGGAGAATCTTCCTGCTCGCAGTGGCTGCTGCCTCACACACAGCGGCATGTGGACCTGGCCATAGAAGACCGTCTCGAGGAAGTTGGCTTTGCATTTTTGGGGGAAGACAAAGTGCTTGAGGACAGTGCATGTTCCATCCAACTCTTCCCGGAGGAGCATCTGGAGCTTCGTGTCGCGAGGCACCTGCGTTTTGACACTAAAGGGGGCTGGGAGCACATTGAGTTATGGCCTGCTTGTAGGACGTGGACAGGTCATCAAAATTGAAGTCAGGAGGGTGCCTTGTGACGAGCTCCAGCCTGCACGCCTGGGTTGGCCTCCACGCTGCCTGCCTCCGACCTGAGGAAATTGACGTTGAAGATGCCAACTGGCAATGAGGAGGACACAAAGGGTGATGGCATGCTTCTGCAGACGTAAGCATTGCATGCGTTCTTGAGGTCATCAAGGTCTATCCTCCTGCTCCTTGGCCATGCTAGGACAGGAGCGGAACAGGGGGCAGAAGAGGAGCAAGGAAGCGCTGAACCAGACAGCTTCAAATCGGTTCTGCTCAAAAAATGGAAAATAATTGAACAGCTGAAAAAGCAAGGGTTCTGAGGGACATGAGCAGCCATGTCCCCCCAAATCCTTGATTTTCAGTTTTTTCAGTTTTTTCAGTTTCTTCAGTTTTGTTCAGTTTTTCAGTGTTTTTGTATTTTCAGTTTTTCAGTTTCTGTTAGTTTTTTGAATAGATGCCCTTATGCCAGCATAGTGCTTGGTTGCAGTATGGGCCGGTTTAGATGGAGTGTTCTGGCAGATTCAAGCCTTTCGTCACAAAACACCGCAAATATCAGTGTTTTCTGACAAAACCTTGGTTTGGGGGTACCATATATATATATATATATAGTCATACACATGAATGTAAATGTGTTTTAACCCATATCAAATGTAAATGATTTATGTTGACACATATTCAACCATATTCATCTCTAGAGTTCCGATGTATGTTGGCCTCAACGTGAGGCTTGCAAGCAGGCGATGCCTTTGCGGAGCATAGATCAACATGGCCAGTCTATAATGCGTCAAAAGCCAGCAACTCCTCCACCAGTAGCCTTGTATTTTTATGCGAACACCTGAGGCTGCGTGTTTATGAATGTTACGTGCTTGGGTTTCCTGTCTGGATATTGAATATTTGGTCATTTGCCCAGAGACAACCAACAAGTTTTTTCATCTCGCGACATGGAGGTCTTGTCCATAATGAGTGTCCTGCAAAGACCGCTCGGCGCTCAGATGCAGTAGTGCGTCGCGGGGTCTTCAGCCAGCGTTCAGCTAGTCTCTTTCTCACTTCCTCAGTTCATGAACTTTAAACTTTTTGGGAAGACCAATTTAGTCGTAAATGTAAAGTTTGGACTTTTTTGGGCCATCCACTCAGCAAGTGAGCTTTTCCTTTCCACGCTTCAACACAACTTCTTCCAACTTGTGGGCGCAACTCCACTCATCCGTCCAATGTCAGAAGCTCACCGAAGGAGTGGTGCCACATGCTCCAGGAAGGGGCCTTAGGCACACGCCCCTTGCCACAAATGGGCGCCTGCGCCGCCTTGCTAATTCTTGAAGCCTTGTCCTGGGTGGACTAATGGAATGCCTGGTTTTGAGTATGACTCAATTGATTCGTAAATGGTTTCCAAACAGATACGTCCAAGGCATCCTTCCATCCACGAGCAAGTGCCCCGGCTTTTGGGGTTTGTGGAGATGCCAGCGGCATCTTGGACCCCGAATTTCCTGAAGGTCTTTTGGCTGTGGGTCAAAACCCACAGTACCATTTTGGGTAGGTGCACCACCCATTTTAGTCTATAGTGGGGATTGGGATGTTCACTGCTACGGGAATTTGACCCATGGCCTTTTAGTTTTTTGTTTGCGGATTCGAGCCTTGTCACTTAGGCGTGACTCAACTTGGGCTGCGGCCGGCGTCTCAATGGGGCCAACTGAGCCGCTGGAGAAGCCATGGTGGCTGTTGGGGCGGCTACCTGGGTTTGTGCTGCATGTTTGGCCCTTCTTATGGCCTATTTTCACCAACCGCGACCAAATACTGTATAGCTGCGTTTTCGTATACCAAGCAGCAAGCCGGCAGATTGCGGGGTTGCTTCTAAGATGAGTTCTACCACCCAACCACTACCCCCAGAGGAAGATAGGATTATGAACCCTGATATGGTAGTTATTCCCCAGATGGCTGAAAGCATCTGAAAGCTTATAGGGGTTCTAACTTCCAATAAGGAAGGGAACGTGATTTGCGAGATTGACGGCTGGGTGCTAAGGGGCATGCAGTTTCGGGTGCTGGCAGATGCTGTTTGGGGTGCTGTTTGGGGTGCTGTTTGAGGTGCTGGTGATAGTGCGGGCTCGTTTTTGCGAGATTGGCCGGGTGCTTTGGGAGTGCTGTTTGGGGGTGATCTTCGGGAGCGCCGGCGCTGGCGCACTTTTGCGATTGATGGCAGGTTGCTAGGGGTCATGCATTTGAGGTGCTCTTTGGGCAGGGCTGTTAGAGGTGCTAATCGTTGGCAAATGTTTCGCCATCTGGGGTCCATGCTGGCGTACTGATGTTTGGTTTACTCCGTTGTTCTTTATCACGCTTGGTAGCCGTCTGCTCCCGACGAATCATGAGTGAACGCATGAGGCCAAAACAGGCGTCGACAGCAATGGCCGGGCCCCTGGCAGGAGGTATTGAAAGATGCAAATTACATGTGTCATGGTCAAAGTTACTTCTGAGGAAACCAGACAAATAGTGAGCCCCCTGGTTCTTTGAGGTGGAAATGGAAGATAGTGTACTGGACATCTTAGCCCAACCTGATTGTGGCGCACTACTTTCATCTTCGTTCGTTTTTTTGCCTGAATGCTGGCCGTCCCAGCCTGTGTTGTGGGCTGGTAGGTCACGCTGTATTCCCTTCTGGCATGTCCAACAGGCTAGCTGATTGCCTGTTGGAAATGTGTGTTCTTGACACAAATCGTGATTTGAGGGCTTCCAACACAATTATGTTTTTTTCTGCTCGGCTTTCTTGTTTGGCACGTCAGGTGTTTGCTGACATGTATATCGAAAACAAACATATTATATATATATATATATGTATATGTCGTATTTGGTATATGATACGTAACCTTGGTTGGGTGGTTGGTTGAAAGGGTCCCCCTAGTGTTGGCGCATACGCAATTAGATCGAATCTAGGAAGGGGGACTAGGGAATGTTCGCCGGCTCAAGTGGGTGCTAAATATCCCAAACGTGTTAATTGTCTTAAACGGAATCCGTTAAAGAGACGCTCTCTACAAGCTGTTGGAAGTCTGAGGCCAGAAGATTCAAATGGAACAGTGGAGCACTATACCAGCTTCTCGAAAGGATTTGTAGGCTTTCTTCACAAATCCCTCAACGTCTTCAATCTCCAGGCATCTAGAACATCTCGCAGTCAAAAGATCAACCAACGCAGTCGCCGTGTGTTTTCAAGAAGCAGCCCCACAAGCCCACTGAGGTAATTACCTGACTGCAGAAGTTTTCGAGGCTTGTTTGTACACTCAAGCAAGCAGGCAACAATTGGTTGGCAATCAACGCTAACTAGTTGTCCAAAGATTTGGCTGTCAGATTCGTGGCACAATGCCGAAAGCGCTGGATTCGTGCCCATACATGTCTCGGGCCCGTTGGTATGCGTCTTCTCATTTCTAGTCATCCTAGTTAACCATACTATCCATCACAATCATTCCAGTTACCTGTATACATAGTAGCTTGGAAGTCCTTCGTTGAAAAGATCGTGGCAATTTGACGGTGGCTTGTAGGCCAATTGGTTGGCCTTGTTGTTTTGTTCCTTGCCATGTTGGGCGGATGATCTTCATCTGTGCTTTGCAAATGAGGAAGGACTGCAAGACCGCATTAGCCAATCTTAATCGTGGAAATCTTCTGAACGTAGAACCTCTTCCGGCTTATTTGGGAAATAGAGAAAGTGTAAGGTGAGGTGTGTGTGTCAAATCGGGGCATTTCTTTGTTCCTTTACACCCTGGTAAAAGTAGCCTCAAAAGACAGAAGCCCACAAGAGCCATTCGGGCCAGAAGGAGTCGTCCATGCCCTGAGTCGATTTTGAAGGTTCGTGCTAAGGGAACCCTGACCAAGACCCATAGTTTGGCACACATGTGTGTGTGTGTGCTTTTTTGAGGGTACCCCTTGTTTGGTTGCTTTAGAGGCAAAGCAAAAGGAAAGCCGAAGCCATTGTGGGGGTCCCGCAATAAAAACACCAGAAAACAATACCCATACTCCAGAAAGCATGGCGTCGGAGATCGGGGTCTTCCAGGCACTGCTTTGCGTACTCGTTCCCCGGCCGCCACCACGCCGCGCCGGTCCTCGCCGTCGCCACGGGCACCCGCCTCAGACCGAAGCGTCCAGAAGCGAGGCTTTTCGGCGGTGCGCCATGAAACTTCCACCCGGCCGTTGCCTTCCTTGCCGCTTCCCTGTCCGGTTCCCTAGGCTTTTAGGATCTTTTTGTTGGTTTATCTAATTTAGTCTAGGCTTTTTTTCAAGTATTGCCCTTCTCTCCCCTTTTTTGGTTGGGAGGGTTCACCTACTAAAATAGACAGAAAAAGGGGCACCCTTATTCTAACCTCAAATCTGGAGGATCTAGACTTGCTTTCCTTGCCGGATTCCCAGCAGTTCGATTCCTTAGGCTTTTAGGCCGTTTCTCCCAAAAGGCACCCCTGTCGGCCCTGTCCCCTGTCCCCTGTCCCCTGCCGTTTCTCCCAAAAGACAAATCATTGATGGACACGGTTCAAAGCGACCTGCCTGATGATTGTTGAATGCAAAGTTCGCGGAAAATTCGGGGGGATGCATTTGCATGTAAGCTTGATGCCCGCCTGGGTAATCCAGTAGCAAGATCCTTCTCTTGGGATACGAAGGGGCTGACAGGGATTTCCAGAGAGGATCGGCAAACCATCCTTTTTGAACACCAGTTAGTGGTAATATGGGCAATCATCAACAGCACATAGTGATAATAGTTGTAATAGGTCGGTTTTTGAGAATAATAATGATAATAGTAGTACTAGGACAAATCATAATAACAAAAATAATAGTTGTGCAACCTCAAACATGACAATGGCATACGTTGGGCGTTATGGGTAATGTCCACGGGATATCTATTTCGAACCTCTCCGGATGAATCAGGGTTTGCCCCGTTGGCAACAAGGGCCATGTCTAGTCCTTGGGACCGATGCGAAGTGGGCGTTCATGTTAGACATGGGGGAGGGAGCCCAAATCAGCCCCAAAGAAGGCCTGATTCAGGGCTTAATAAAGAGCTAAGTTGGGCTCCCTCCCCCCTCCATATCTTCATTTGAATATATTACAAAACACCCATTATCATCCATTTGTTGTGTTGTTTCATTAAAAATACCCCTCCCCCAATGATAATAGACACGGAATATAGATGGATAGCTTTGGATATATCCTGTGGGCAAATAGAAACAGTTGTGCACCCCAGAGGACAGCAGCTGGCAAGAGCATGCGAGAGGATGCGGGCAGACTCGTCTACAGGCACGCCTACAGGTAAATAGATATATGTGTGCTTGTGTTTGGGTGTGTGCACGTTCTTGAGGGTACCCTGTTCACCCTTGGTTTAAAAGAAAGCCAACCAGGAGAACCGCAAGTTTTCAGGCCTCCCTATGTTCACCCATACTCGTGGTGTGGCTTGCTGGCATGAGTTTGCCCAACGAAAGCGCAGGTTGCCAGGCGAAAGGTTGCCCGTGAGTTGGGCTGAATTCCTACGCAACCCATGTCTGTAGGCCCAGCATTTGGACCCATGCGTGGAACTGTGGGTAAATATGACCAACATGGATTGTGTGGGATTGTACATCAACGCCTGCAGACTGGATCCTTTCTGATTCCGACCCACTGATTTCAGGGAGTCGCTTAGGCGCTTTGCCCTCTCAGAAGAATGTGTTTCAGGTTGTAGGAACTGATGAGTCATCTTACACGTTTACCATGCTTGGAGGGGCCTCATTCATGCAGGCAATCAATGTCTACGGAAACAAGAAGAGCCTGTTAAGACGTACTTTGGTGCATTTTGCTTGGATGTTAGGACTTTAACATTTTGCCAACAAATGGGTTTTCAATTAAACCACAAAAAGTCAAACTTCTAGCAGGGCAGCAGAAAGCAACCGAGTATAGGTACTCTAGCAAGTCCCTCGAGTAAATGAGCAGATGTGGTGATATCCGGCTACAAGCGGCCGAGCGATGCAGCGATGTGCCTGGCTGAGGACCCACACCTGCGCACGGCAGAACGCGCAGTGGCACGGGTTGAAGGTGGGCGGGAGTCACGAGTCACAACCCGGATAGACAGAGGATAGCAGATGCCGTGACGAACCCTTTTTTATGTAATGTTATTTGGTTGGATCTTTGGACTTTGACTGTTTGGGCAGTTTTATGTCTTCATGGCTGTTTGGTTGGATCTTTGGACTTTAACAGTTTGGGCAGCAATTTGGGCAACAGGTCGGATGTTCCATTGCTCAGGCTTGCTGAGCTCGGGCGAGAATGCCTGTAGAAAAAACCTCGTCCAGGGACACGGGACACAGGCGTGCAGGCAAGACTCTACCACACCAAGGCGTTGTTGTTTCTCTTTGGCTCGACCTCATATCTTGCCTTTTCAGAGTGTGGAGCTTTGATGTTTCCCGAACCAGCAGCTGGTTTTTGTTGAGCCGCCGGTTCTTCTGCACCGAACCCGCAGGTCCGGGTCCGTCCCTCTCTGAGCGAGCTCGGCAAGCCTCGAGCTCGCGGCAAGCCCCGGACGGGAGGGAGGGCCTTCAGCTTGTTTGACAGGCCAAGGCCCTGAGCGGGTGTATATGGCTGTGGCTCAAAATGAACCAGGGGCAAACCGCAGGTTTTGGATCCATTTTGGAATTCCGGTTTTTTGAGCCACAGCCCTATGTTTGCGTAAAACTACTACGTCCCCCAGCTAGGTGCCCTTCTCTCCATTTTTTTGGGGAAGGGTTCGGGACCCTACTACGGAACAAAATAATTGGTACCCTTATGCCAACCGCTCTACTGGAGGACCTAGACTATCTTATTTCCGGCAGTTTACTCATCTCCAAATATGCAGCAATGTAGTCTGACTTGAAGGGATTTTCTCCAGATTTGGCTTTCGATGAAGGTTCCTGTCATGAACATTCCTTATGTTTGTCTGCTCAATTGTTGTTTGATTCAGCCAAGTATGATGAAAGCTTTATATTTTGATGAGCCACTGATTTAGCAGGATCAACGCCCGTTTTTTGTTTGTTTTGTTTTTGTTTTGTTTTTTTCCTCGTGGGACTAAAGCATTGTGCGCACAATGCTGGCCAGCGGTTAGCTCACAAAGCCTTCAGGCCTGGGGGCTTGCGAGAGCTTTCATCCTGGTTTCCTTGGTTTGCTCTCCATCGTTTGACCTTTCATTTTTTTGGCTTCCCTGTTTTGCTGGTGTCCTTTCAGTCTGGTTCCTTTCGGCTTCCCCTCTTGCTTTCCTTTGGGTTCCTTTCTGCTTTTGTAGAAACGACCCCTATAGCTTTTTGGCTCCCATTGTCTTCGATAACTTCTGAGTGAGATGCAAAAGGCGCTGTGATGGGTGTCATTCTAGCACAATTTGGTTTAACATTCATAAATACACTGTTTTCAATTGGTACTAACTATTTACCAATCCATCTATTTGTCCAAAAGGACTCCTAGAGTCATAATGCGATGAAACTAAAGAAAACAAGAGAAGCACTGTAGCGAGATGAGTCTTTCCGCGAGTGACTTGGCTTGTTATCCTGGGTTGTTCACAACTAATGCCCAATCCGACTGCCAGACGGCAGAGGTTGGGAATGACCCCCCACCCCCCACCCCATTTTGAACAACCCCGCCACTTGTGAGGGCACGCGTTTCATTTTGTTTATTTTTTTTTTGGGGGGGTATCAAAGTTAGTTTGCTCGCCTTTGAGCCACTAAGGGGGTGGCTTTGACAGGGCTCCTTAAAAGATCTCCATTTTGCAACCATTTGAAACATGGCTTTTTCCACCAAAACAAAGGGAAACCACCATGTACAAGGCAATGTTCAGGTGTATAATGTAAGGATCCCTGTTTGATAGTGGTAAAATCCCTGGCCCATATTTTGAGCGCAGTTGGCCGCGCAAGGCGCTTAACCAGACTCGGCCGAAGCAAGGTCCTCTGCTTCGCGAACAGTCCGACCAAAGATGTCGCAGAAGGCGCGGTCGCTCTTCCATCTTTGGAGAAAGCAGCGTCACAAAAAGTACAGCAGTTCTGTTCTTTGAGCACAAGGCGAATTGGCATTTTTGCAAGCTCCAGAAGAAGTTGTAAATGACTCAACGAATATTGTGCAGCGTACTTCTAGCGAATTCCCCTTTCGGACTTGCGCCACGTTTTGTTGACCCCTTTTTCTCCGAGCCCGGCACATCTCCGAGTCAAGAAATCACCGGGTCAGCTTGATGCCCATTTCATCTCAATAAGAACAAACACGCGGATGGACATATGTGAAACTTGATGTGTGTGTGCGTGTTTTGAAAGATTCCCTTGCTTGTCACCCACTCTAAGAAGTAAGAGACCTCAACTATCGAATTGCAACCCCCTGGCTAGATGAACGTGTTTCCAATATTTTCGAGGCGGTGCAGGCTTCGAACCTGGCTCATGTGCCGCCGTGCAATAAGCCGAAAGCCTGTCAATAGCTTCTGACAGTCATCCTGGACATGTGCTTGCTCCTAACTTTCTGGCTGCTACTGATTTGGCGGGGGCGCCCTTGCAAAAGCTATTCAAGGTAACCACGGTAACCTCCAAAACAAAGAAGGAATAGCCGCCTTGACTTTTTCCATATTTTGAGGACGGGGTTCCAATCAACTCCCGTCAAAAGGTGCTTGTGGATGCCCATTCTTTGCCTTTGCCCCCCCCCCCCCAACACAGAGATAAAGAAAGCGCCTTCGAGACCTGAAAAACAATCTGTCGTGGGGGGCATCTATTATCCGTGAAGCCCTTAATTTGCCCCAGACCGCATCCCGCTGATTGCAACTCCGGATTTGCTATCGAAAACAGGCACAGCTCAGCCAATGGAAAGCTCCAATGGACAGCTCCATTGGAAAGTTCCATTGCGACGGTTCGATCTTCGAAAGTTCCAATGGAAAGTTTCAGGCCAGGGTTCCAGGTGAGCTTCCTGCACACGGTTTGGTAGGGCTTGCCATGTTCCATGCGGTTCCCGCTCGCCGACGCAAACTTGTTGGCAAAAAAAGGAAGAAACCCAACAGCTTGCCTTTCATTGACTTAACGATGTGTGTTATTGTCTCCTTTGGTTTTAAACATAATCTATCACTACTGAAGATATGTTATTGTTTTTGCCAGCGGATTTAATCAAATGGAGATTGCTGTTGGGAGCAAGGCCCTTTCTGGAACAACTGCCAAAGTCTCCGATGCTTAGCGCACCTAAGCAATAGCGGCATGTCCTGGACGTTGCTTGGGGTCTTCCGCACTTCTGAATCGCAGGCTTCGCAAAAGCTCGGCGCCTCCTCCAGCGAACATCTCAGGTCGGCGCAAGAGGTTTAGAGGGTCTTAAGCGAGGAAATCGTAGCTTGACACGTGACAGCCGTTCTTCTTCATGTGTATGACTGCGGGTTTCCCAGATACTTATGTTGAAATTTATTTTGGGTTGGCTTTGTCATGATTGTGGCATAGCGGGACAATCGTTGACTACTACGGAATGACGAAAAGAACGGTGGATCAGCGCTTGGAAGGATACATGTTGACTTCAGGTTCAGTTGGATGACTGAATGCTCTTCATTCCATGTTCCCGGCGAAGAGAAAAATAAAGCAAAGATAGATCAGAAAGCAAGATGTGGTGGTGTTCAGCAGGGAGCAGAAAGCAACCAAGATGTGGTGGTGTTTAACATCAACCATTGGTTAGAGCACGTTCGCAGCCTCCTGGTAGGCAGCTGGTGCGCAGGGGCGCCACCAGAAAGCGCCCATGAACGTCTAGTAGAGGAGTATCATGGACATTTCTTTCGCAGGACGACTTTGGGCTTCCTTCTCTTGGCGGCTCCCAGCCATCCGGTTCCTTAGCTCTTTAAAAACAGTGTTTATTGGGGTTTTCCATTTGGCCCACTAAAAGTTATTTTTTTAGCGGGGGATCTGAGGACAGCCTAGTTCTGTGCATGCCTTTGGAAGTACGTGCTTCTTTAAAGAAGGAATGACCATCCACGTCCGAGTGTGGGAAAGGTACGTATGGTTTGCATGTGTTTAGCATTAGCTGCGCGTGCCATGCTGAAAAGTCACAATGATTGACATGACACGCTAGCTGAAGTTGCTCAAATTAACCCGGAATCAAGTCAAGGGTTACACATGATGCGTGGACAGCTGATTCAATTGACTCTGCCTCGCTGTATCATAATATGACGACATAACCCGGCCAATATGCTACATAGACACCTTGAGGAACAGAAGTCTAAACCATTCATGCGACTAAAATAGGGTGACCCCAAACATGTGTAGCTTACTTTTGGTTTTCCTTCAACCCCAACAGGATCTAGAAAACAGTTTGAATGCGTTTTTTTGTGGATTTTCCTATTTTTATTTCTGTTGGTTCTTTAGTAATCTTGTAGGACTCTTTCATGTTATTCTGCAAGGGTGAATCCACAGATTCGCCACATACAAACCATTTCTTCCAATTTGGGTCCCCTATTCTTTTGAACCACCTATTTGACCTGCGGCAATTCAAGGGCTGTGTCATGCTGAGGGGTGTACCCCTGGCCTCCAAGCTTATGTTATCCAGACGGGAGTACCCTCCAAAAACACGCGGCTGGCAATCGCTAGACGCTGACTGGACGCCTTAGGTATGACGGAGCTGGGCGGCGGACGGTTACTGCGTGACAGCCCCCTCTCCCAGGCGTCTTGGAGCAACATCGCGTGTGCGTTGACTATACCGGGAAGACAATTGGCTGCGGGTCAAAAATAGGTACCACAAATGGAACCCTGGTAAGTGGAAACATGGACCAAAACTTGCAGTCCCCTGGTGGTTTAATGTTGACCCATACACAATATTCCTTTTAAAGGGACCGGCTCTCGTTGGTCAGGTTCCATGTAAACCAGGGTGGGAGGGTACCATGGTTGGAACCATACCGTGTGTTGGCATTTAGGGGTTGATGAAAAGGTCCTTTACATGGGGTGACCAGTACGAAAACCAGTAAAGGGATGATATTTCCGACTACATGGAAAAAGTTGCCCATGGTCCTTTTGGGACCAGGAATATTGATCAACCCCCATAGATTGCGGATACGCACCGGCGCAAGCAAACTAACAAACCAATACAAGAAGCTAGATTCACAGAAGCAAAGAAACAAAAGATCACAAAAGCAAACAAAACATCAAATAAACAACCAAACAAATAGACAAACAATAGATCACACACACACCCACACACACACACACACACACACACACACACACACACACACACACACACACACACACACACACACACACACACACACACACACACACACACACACACACACACACACACACACACACACACACACACACACACACACACACACACATATACGTACACACACACACACGCACACACACACACACACACACACACACACACACACCCACCCACCCACCCGGCACGCCGCCCCGGCCTCGCGGACACACACAAGCACAAACCCACGCGCGCACGGGCGCACGCACGCACAGGGTACTGCTGAGTGAAGGATGGCAGCACTCCCCCCACTTTAGATCTCCTTCCTTTCCCCACAATATCAACTTCTTGTACAGCCACCCAGAATAAAAGCGATCTGATTTTTTGTATGGCAACTCACAACAAGTCGATTCACTGCCTTTCCCACATAACATGCTTGTTGTTGGGAAGCATTTTACATTTTTGCTTGTTGTGGTTTAGTGGTTGAAATCCAACCACTTAACTGCTAAAATTTGAGAATTGTTTGCTCCCCAAACCCAACGTCAACCAAGTGAGTGGGTGTATATGTTTGCGTAAAACTACTAGGTCCCCCAGCTAGGTGCCCTTCTACCGTTTCTTTTTCTTGGGGAGGGTTCGGGACCCTACTACGGAACAAAATAATTGGTACCCTTATGCCAACCGCTCTACTTGAGGACCTAGACTATCTTATTTCTTGGGAAGCAAATAATTATTGGTTTCGGCTGTTTACCCAACCGTTGCAAACGGTGGCAAAACGGAGCTGTGCAATCACCATCCCCAAAATAAACCAAGTGTTTCCATGAACTGCCACTTCCCCACCTCAAAGACGCTCATCCCCGAAATTCCCCTAAGCCAAACAAAAACCAAATGGCACCCAAGGTGGCTTGAGAGGGAAAACTAAATTTGCTTGGTTTGAGAGGGAAGCCACAAGGAAGACCAAATTTGTGGCTGGTTGCATGGGGCCCATGGGGAGTTGGTGCCGTTTTCGCCAACTTTCCCCCTTGGAACGAACGATCCAATCCAAGGGACGCTCGGCGCGCATGGAGGGGCTGCTGCGGCTCTCCCGGGCCATCAGCGAGGCCGGCTGGACTGGGATGGGGGTTTTGCTGGGTGTCTTCTATTGGTCGTCTTTTGCGTTTTGTTTTGCTTGTTTGTTTCGGTCAAAACTCGTCAAGAGTTCCGTGGGGAGCCGCAAAGCACGCTTTTGCGCTCACAGCCTGACAGGCTTGTACAAAGTCGTGTCGTTTTGACACCTGAATGCTGCCAGCACATCTTTCATAGAGATGTGGCCATTGACTGATGATCTGTTGGTCGCCAGCACATATTCATTGATCTTGCTTCTCAAGTGCTCCTGCTTGGCATCGACATCCTTGACATTGAGAGATCTCACCTGCGTCCATTTGGAACGCGCCCACTTCTTGAAGCGCGCCACTTCACTCTCAGCATCGTTGGTGTGACTGCCATCCTTGGCGCGGTACTCTTTCTTGTGATTGCAGGTCTTCAGTGGGATCTGCAAAGCAGAAGCAGCCTTCTCTGCAGCTTTCCACCCATCAGCAGTCAACTTTGTGCGGGATCGCAAGCGGGTGGAGAGCACCTTCTCAAGGACTTCTGCGCCGCGAGGCTTCTTCCCAGGTGCTTGAGACGCACTTGGGAGTACTTCCATGGCAACACGCTTGGTGCCACTTGCATGTGTGCGGGGAGCTTGTCCATCCTTGCCAGTTTGCACACCAAGCCAGACCCACTGCGTAGCCTTGTTGCTTCTCTTGTCTTTCGACGAGCCAGCTTTCATTGGCTTAGGGAACGACTTCGCACCAGGTTTCCACAGTGTCTTGCAAGGCCTGCGCGCACGAATGCGAACTGGGTTTCTTTGAAAAGCACCTTGAGCGGTGCCATTTTTGCCCACCATCTTGCCCACCTTGCCCACAGCAGTTTCATCTACAGCGCATCGCTCGCTGCGGCCACCTATCTTGTTGATGTTCTTGGACTCCACGAAAGCAGTCAGTGCAGTGTGGTACAGCTTCTGCCAGCGAGCTATGGACGCTTTGCTTGTGTTGTGTGCATCTCTCAGCTCCTGAATAATGCGCTTGATGCGCTCGTTGCATCGCATGAAAACGAGGAAGTGAAGAAAGGCCAGCAGGTTGTTGACCCTGAGCTCTGGCAACGCGGGTACCTGAAACCTGTGTCGGAAGTGCTTAGTGCCCGTTGCCTCTTGGCAGACCCACATCAGTTCATCAGGTGAACGGCCTTGTATCAACTTGCACTTGCCCCCGCACTTGAGACACTTGCTGGGTGCGTTCACCATCTGAAAATGCATGAAAACGCACAGCGCCCTCAGCGCTTCTGAATCTTTCAGTGGCTGACAGTTCAATGGCGTGTAGACCACGTGCTTCTGAAAGGCCGCAGATGAAGCGAATGCATCTTCCTTGAAGTTCTGTATGAATTTATTGATGTCCATGAATATGCGGGGGGTGAAACAGACAAGGACTACATGAATGGATACGGTTTGGGCATCTTGGGAAACAGCTTCAGAGACGCAGAAGCTAACCTTCAAACTGTGCTTACAAGGTCAAGCAACACGCCTCATTTTCAAAAAGCAACAACGCAATCTTGGCTCTATGTGCTAGGCTTCTACCTGCCAATGAAACGAAGCGGACCTGTCGGCTCGTTCGGGATCTTGAATCTAGCACGACTCACTCGCGGAACTCTGGGCTGCGGTGCTGGCGGTGGGAGTGATTGCCGGACAGCCGCATCCATATCCATCTCACGCCATTGAGATTCTGCACGCGTCACCAGCCTTAACCGAAAAGGTTCATTTCAAACAAACAAAACATAAAACCCTGAATTTATCAACGTCCGTGCACCCCGTATCCTAACTAACACACGACCCTTCTGAAACCACGTGGCCAGTCACCCATACGACGATGAAGCCAAACTGTCGTGACGTCAGCCCGCCGCTGCTCGTGCTCCAAAAGCCACCCACTGACCAAGTTGTAAATAAATATGGTGAACTCCATGGCACAACACAAACAGCAGAAACAGGCAAGTGATCTCGAGCCTGAAGCGAGCCTGTTGCGGGGGCCTGAACATCTGGACGCTGCTGTAGAACCCACGCAACCATATATGCAAGATATCAATATAGCAATAATGCCAATGTAGCAACAGGGGGAACTCTTAATGAGTCTACACCCGTTTGTTTAGTGGTTTGTTTGTTTGTTTCTTTCTTTTTGTTTGTTTGTTTTGCTTGTTTGTTTAGTGGTTTGTTTGTTTGTTTCTTTCTTTTTTCTTCTTCTGTTTCTCTTCTTTGTTTTTTGTTTGTTTGTTTCTTTCTTTTTGTTTGTTTTGCTTGTTTGTTTAGTGGTTTGTTTGTTTGTTTCTTTCTTTTTTTCTTCTTCTTTTTCTCTTCTTTGTTTTTTGTTTGTTTGTTTCTTTCTTTTTGTTTGTTTGTTTTGCTTGTTTGTTTAGTGGTTTGTTTGTTTGTTTCTTTCTTTTTGTTTGTTTGTTTTGCTTGTTTGTTTAGTGGTTTGTTTGTTTGTTTCTCTATTTTGTTCTTCTTCTTTTTCTCTTCTTTGTTTTTTGTTTGTTTGTTTCTTTCTTTTTGTTTGTTTGTTTTGCTTGTTTGTTTAGTGGTTTGTTTGTTTGTTTCTCTTTTTGTTCTTCTTCTTTTTCTCTTCTTTGTTTTGTTTGTTTGTTTTTTTCTTTTTGTTTGTTTGTTTTGCTTGTTTGTTTAGTGGTTTGTTTGTTTGTTTCTTTCTTTTGTTTCTTTGTTTGTTTCTTTCTTTTGTTTGTTTGTTTTGCTTGTTTGTTTAGTTTCTTCTTTTTCTTCTTCTTTTTCTCTTCTTTGTTTTTGTTTGTTTGTTTCTTTCTTTTTGTTTGTTTGTTTTGCTTGTTTGTTTAGTGGGTTTGTTTGTTTCTTTCTTTTTTCTTCTTCTTTTTCTCTTCTTTGTTTTTTGTTTGTTTGTTTCTTTCTTTTTGTTTGTTTGTTTTGCTTGTTTGTTTACTGGTTTGTTTTTGTTTCTTTCTTTTTTTCTTTTTCTTTTCTCTTCTTGTTTGTTTGTTTCTTTCTTTTTGTTTTTGTTTTGCTTGTTTGTTTAGTGGTTTGTTTGTTTGTTTCTTTCTTTTTTTCTTCTTCTTTTTCTCTTCTTTGTTTTTTGTTTGTTTGTTTCTTTCTTTTTGTTTGTTTGTTTTGCCTGTTTGTTTAATAATTTGTTTGTTTGTTTCTTTCTTTTTTTCTTCTTCTTTTTCTCTTCTTTGTTTTTTGTTTGTTTGTTTCTTTCTTTTTGTTTGTTTGTCTTGCTTGTTTGTTTTGCTCGTTTGTTTAGTGGTTTGTTTGTTTGTTTCTTTTTTTTTCTTGGTCTTTTGCTCTTCTTTGTTTTTTGTTTGTTTGTGTCTTTCTTTTTGTTTGTTTGTTTTGCTTGTTTGTTTAGTGGTTTGTTTGTTTGTTTCTTTCTTTTTTTCTTCTTCTTTTTCTCTTCTTTGTTTTTTGTTTGTTTGTTTCTTTCTTTTTGTTTGTTTGTTTTGCCTGTTTGTTTAATAATTTGTTTGTTTGTTTCTTTCTTTTTTTCTTCTTCTTTTTCTCTTCTTTGTTTTTTGTTTGTTTGTTTCTTTCTTTTTGTTTGTTTGTCTTGCTTGTTTGTTTTGCTCGTTTGTTTAGTGGTTTGTTTGTTTGTTTCTTTTTTTTTCTTGGTCTTTTGCTCTTCTTTGTTTTTTGTTTGTTTGTGTCTTTCTTTTTGTTTGTTTGTTTTGCTTGTTTGTTTAGTGGTTTGTTTGTTTGTTTCTTTCTTTTTTTCTTCTTCTTTTTCTCTTCTTTGTTTTTTGTTTGTTTGTTTCTTTCTTTTTGTTTGTTTTTTTGCTTGTTTGTTTTGTTTGTTTTTTTGTTTCTTTCTTTTTTTCTTCTTCTGTTTCTCTTCTTTGTTTCTTGTTTGTTTGTTTCTTTATTTTTGTTTGTTTTTCCTGTTTGTGTAGTGGTTTGTTTGTTTGTTTCTTTATTTTTTTCTTCTTCTTTGTCTCTTCTTTGTTTTTTGTTTGTTTGTTTCTTTCTTTTTGATTGTTTGTTTTGCTTGTTTGTTTAGTGGTTTGTTTGTTCGTTTCTTTCTTTTTTTCTTCTTCTTTTTCTCTTCTTTGTTTTTTGTTTGTTTGTTTCTTTCTTTTTGTTTGTTTTTTTGCTTGTTTGTTTAGTGGTTTGTTTTTTTGTTTCTTTCTTTTTGTTTGTTTGTTTTGCTTGTTTGTTTAGTGGTTTGTTTGTTTGTTTCTTTCTGTTTTTCTTCTTCTTTTTCTCTTCTTTGTTTCTTGTTTGTTTGTTTCTTTCTTTTTGTTTGTTTTTTTGCTTGTTTGTTTAGTGGTTTGTTTGTTTGTTTCTTTCTTTTTTTCTTCTTCTTTTTCTCTTCTTTGTTTTTTGTTTGTGTGTTTCTTTCTTTTTGTTTGTTTGTTTTGCTTGTTTGTTTAGTGGTTTGTTTGTTTGTTTCTTTCTTTTTTTCTTCTTCTTTTTCTCTTCTTTGTTTTTTGTTTGTTTGTTTCTTTCTTTTTGTTTGTTTTTTTGCTTGTTTGTTTAGTGGTTTCTTTGTGTGTGTCTTTCTTTTTTTCTTCTTCTTTTTCTCTTCTTTGGTTTTTGTTTGTTTGTTTCTTTCTTTTTGTTTGTTTGTTTTGCTTGTTTGTTGAGTGGTTTGTTTGTTTGTTTCTTTTTTTTTCTTCTTTTTCTCTTCTTTGTTTTTTGTTTGTTTGTTTCTTTCTTTTTGTTTGTTTTTTTGCTTGTTTGTTTAGTGGTTTGTTTGTTTGTTTCTTTCTTTTTTCTTCTTCTTTTTCTCTTCTTTGTTTTTTGTTTGTTTGTTTCTTTCTTTTTGTTTGTTTGTTTTGCTTGTTTGTTTAGTGGTTTGTTTGTTTGTTTCTTTCTTTTTTTCTTCTTCTTTTTCTCTTCTCTGTTTTTTGTTTGTTTGTTTCTTTCTTTTTGATTGTTTTTTTGCTTGTTTGTTTAGTGGTTTGTTTGTTTGTTTCTTTCTTTTTTTCTTCTTCTTTTTCTCTTCTTTGTTTTTTGTTTGTTTGTTTCTTTCTTTTTGTTTGTTTGTTTGCTTGTTTGTTTAGTGGTTTGTTTGTTTGTTTCTTTCTTTGTTTCTTCTTCTTTTTCTCTTCTTTGTGTTTTGTTTGTTTGTTTCTTTCTTTTTGTTTGTTTTGCTTGTTTGTTTAGTGGTTTGTTTGTTTGTTTCTTTCTTTTTTTCTTCTTCTTTTTCTCTTCTTTGTTTTTTGTTTGTTTGTTTCTTTCTTTTTGTTTGCTTTTTTGCTTGTTTGTTTAGTGGTTTGTTTGTTTGTTTCTTTTTTTCTTCTTCTGTTTCTCTTCTTTGTTTTTTGTTTGTTTGTTTCTTTCTTTTTGTTTGTTTGTTTTGCTTGTTTGTTTAGTGGTTTGTTTGTTTGTTTCTTTTTTTTGTTCTTCTTCTTTTTATCTTCTTTGTTTTTTGTTTGTTTGTTTCTTTCTTTTTGTTTGTTTTTTTGCTTGTTTGTTTAGTGATTTGTTTGTTTGTTTCTTTCTTTTTTCTTCTTCTTTTTATCTTCTTTGTTTTTTGTTTGTTTGTTTCTTTCTTTTTGTTTGTTTTTTTTGCTTGTTTGTTTAGTGGTTTGTGTGTTTGTTTCTTTCTTTTTTTCTTCTTCTTTTTCTCTTCTTTGTTTTTGTTTGTTTGTTTCTTTCTTTTTGTTTGTTTGTTTTGCTTGTTTGTTTAGTGGTTTGTTTGTTTGTTTCTTTCTTTTTTTCTTCTTCTTTTTCTCTTCTTTGTTTTTTGTTTGTTTGTTTCTTTCTTTTTGTTTGTTTTTTTGCTTGTTTGTTTAGTGGTTTGTTTGTTTGTTTCTTTCTTGTTTTCTTCTTCTTTTTCTCTTCTTTGTTTTTTGTTTGTTTGTTTCTTTCTTTTTGTTTGTTTGTTTTGCTTGTTTGTTTAGTGGTTTGTTTGTTTGTTTCTTTCTTTTTTTCTTCTTCTTTTTCTCTTCTTTGTTTTTTGTTTGTTTGTTTCTTTCTTTTTGTTTGTTTTTTTGCTTGTTTGTTTAGTGGTTTGTTTGTTTGTTTCTTTCTTGTTTTCTTCTTCTTTTTCTCTTCTTTGTTTTTTGTTTGTTTGTTTCTTTCTTTTTGTTTGTTTGTTTTGCTTGTTTGTTTAGTGGTTTGTTTGGTTGTTTCTTTCTTTTTTTCTTCTTATTTTTCTCTTCTTTGTTTTTTGCTTGTTTGTTTATTTCTTTTTGTTTGTTTGTTTTGCTTGTTTGTTTAGTGGTTTGTTTGTTTTGGTTCTTTATTTTGTTTATTGTTCCTTTTTTTTCTCTTCTTTGTTTTTTGTTTGTTTGTTTCTTTCTTTTTGTTTGTTTGTTTTGCTTGTTTGTTTAGTGGTTTGTTTGTTTTGGTTCTTTATTTGTTTCTTCTTCTTTTTCTCTTCTTTGTTTTTTGTTTGTTGTTGTTTCTTTCTTGTTGTTTGTATGTTTTGTTTGTTTGTTTTCTTTTGCTGTTTGTTTTGTTTGTTTGTTTGTTTGTGTTTATTGTTTGTTTGTTTGTTTGTGTGTTATTTTGTTTGCTGTTTGTTTTGCTTGTTTGTTTTATTTTGTTGGTTTTGTTTGTTTGTTTTGTTTGTTTGTTTGTGTGTTTTTGTGTTTGTTTTGTGTTTGTTTGTTTTGTTTATTTATTTGTTTGTGTTTGTTTTTGTTTGTTTGTTTTTGTTTGTGTGTTTTTGTTTCTTGCTTTTTGTTTGTTTGTTTTTGTTTGTTTGTTTTCTTTTGCTGTTTGTGTTGTTTGTTTGTGTGTTTGTTTGTGTGTTTGATTTTTGTTTGTTTGTTTTGTTTGTTTGTTTGCTTGTGTGTGTGTTTGCTCGTGTGTTTGTTTGTTGTTTGTTGGTTTTGCTTGTTTGTTTGTTTGTTTGTTTGTTTGTTTGTTTGTTTGTTTGTTTGTGTGGTTGTTTTTTGGTTGTTTGTTTTGCTTGTTTGTTTGTTTGTTTGTTTGTTTGTGTGTTTGTTTTTGTTTGTTTGTTTTGTTTGTTTGTTTGCGTGTTTGTGTGTTTTGTTTGTTTGTTTGTTTGTGTGTTTGTTTGTGTGTTTGTTTTTGGTTTGTTTGTTTGTTTGTTTGTTTGTCTTGTTTGTGTTGTTTGTCTGTTGTTTATTGTTTGTTTGTTTGTTTGTTTGCTTGTTTGTTTGTTTTTTTGATGCTCTGAATTTGTTTCAAAGGGGAGTCTATGGTTTAATTATGGTTTGGGTTTTGTTGTTTTCATTTTCTTTATCCCCCAGCTAGGTGCCCTTTCTGGTTGGGAGGGTTCCCCTACTACAATCGACTAGAGAAAACATGGCACCCGTATTCTATCCTCTCTACTGGAGGGCCTAGTGTTTGAGAGGGAGTCGATTCCACCAGAGAGGTTGTATTTTGTTTCCAGGCGGCTTAAGCAAAAGATGTTCGTCCGGAGAAGCTTCGTAGTTGGGCGCCAGGTTTCTGTTTCAATGATTTGTTGAGCCTTTCGAAAGGTGGGCAAAGTCATGAACTCCTTCCGAGCCGAACTGACATTCAGGGTAAAATGGAAGGCCTGCTATCGGGCAAAGAAGCGCGCCCAAGTACATAGGCTACACCTTGCCCTACTCCAGAAGGCTTGTGCAGGTGAGGTCTCCTAAACGCCACAACAATATGAAGCGTTGCCCCCTATCAATAAATGTTGTTTGTTGGGAGACCATATTTATCACCCTCCAGAACCCTCCCATCAATTTGCATGCAACCTGACGGGGGGGTCCCTTTACAGGGTCCCAGGGGGGTTCGACTACTGTCCTCGTCCCCCTTTGCTGAGTGCAAGAAGCCGTCAAAATCGTAATCTGCTGAGTAAGGAATTTATATCAACTTGCTCACGGCACTCGTTTGGTTTTGTCATGTCAACATTCAAAGGTGAAAATTCAAGATGCAAGCTTAACACCAACTAGTTTTGCTGGCATTTCGGGGCAACAGTACCTACCTGAAACGTCGGACTTCTCTTTGAGGTAGGCCTCTTTTCCAAAAGGACCCTGCTCCAAACTGTCACACCCTCCAGTTCAACGCATCCGCGAGATCTTCCTGGGGTGTTCTGTTGGAGTGCCAAGAGTTTGGAGAATTTAGGGCCCATTGGCCTTGGGTTGACAGGTGATGCTGTTTTTTTTGCACTTTTTGGTATACGTATTCTTCCTCCGTTCTGGAAAACGGCTATGTCCAACGTGATTGAGTGGGGGGCGTATTCTGGGACATTCCTGCCTCCGCTTGTTTGAGAAGTCTAAAAGCCCATGACTCCAATTTCAAGGCGAAGACTTTCAGTTTCGGGATCGATCAGGGGGCCCTCCCAATCACAGAACAAAACGACGGATGCTGAAACTGGGTCCATCAACAGTTGTTTTTCAGGCTTCCCAACACGTCCAAACTGCAGGTTGCCGTCATTTTTGTTTACCTGTCTCGGCCCTTTGAAAATGTGGTTATTACGCATTTCCCAAAAGCAAGGAGTCATGGGTTACCGGGCTCTGTCACTTTGAACATGTGGCTTTCACCCAACCGCTTTCGGGGTCCCGGGTTCAAAGGGTCAAGGGAGTCTAGGTCCCGCAGCTAGGGGCCCTTTGACGCTTTTTTTGGAGAGGGTTCCCCTACTAAAATAGACCAACCAGCAAGAAGTTGGTATCCTTATTCCAACCTCTCTACTGGAGGACCTAGGAGTCATGCAGACGTCCTGAGCGCGCAAACGTCCCACGCGGTGCGCCAGGCCCAGCGAGCGCTCGAAGTGCAAACCACAGAGGCGCCAGAATTTGCAGAAAGACGTGCTGGTGCAGGGAATGAGTTGGAATGAACCATCCCTTGTGGTTTCCTTTGAGGGAAACCCCTTCTGGTTCATTCCCAAAACCCTACGCACCAGCAATTGAAGGTATGCGAGCCCTGAAGGAGGTATTTATCCTCCCACCAGTAAAACATTGAACGTGACGTTTGGGACCCGGTTGGTGGAGAGCACGATGGAAAACCTGATGCAAACAGTTGTTCAACAGGCCCCCAAAACAGAAAGTGTTTGAGGTCGACGGTATCAGTTTGTCTCAAATTCCAGGGAACGCCCCACTTGGCTTCTTGTTGAGTTTCTGCAACAGCAGCCAATTGGGATCCCCCGACAACAGAGAGTAGACACACCCATGTTTGCAGTTTCACTCCCTCCACAGAGCAGGTATGTAAGGATGGACCAAGTATTAGAGATGACACCTGTGTCGTAGTGAAGTATTATGCAAGCATGTATCGGAGCTGTTTTGATCATGGTATTTTGAGGGTTCAATCTGAAACGACCGGGACCTGTGGCTACTTCGAGCAACAGCTTGAATCTGGTGCTGAAACAGGATGGGTTCAGCTTTGTTTTTTATTGTGACATCCGGACGCTTTCGCTCAGGATTCCTGCTTGTATGCCTGATTAGGCACTGTAACCGGGTATGTTGATGGCGCGCGCGGACGTTGAGCCACGGAATCTGTGGGGTAAAAATTGCTTGGGAGGCGCTGCCCGGATTGTTTAAAGGCGTGCGGGTAACACTGAGAATGTTGAGACCAAAGGACCATGAGTTTGGCTGTTTCGAGACACCAGTTCTCTTTTGAATCTGCCTCAGAGCATTATAATCAGGCCAGTCGAAGGCATGTCGCCTATTCTGCTTTGATGCGAATTGAAACACTAGCAGCTATGCTCAACATTGGAGCATGTTGAACAATCAATGTTGTCTATTTCCCTGCAAAATCGGAACCCCAAATCCCCCAAAAGAAGGTTCTGCTGAGAAGTTCGGTTCTCTGGGTTCCGTGTGAATTTTGCCTTTTGCCAAAGCAAACGCCACTCGTGTCTCCGTTTGCTGCCTTGACATGTGGGGGCAACAAAGTCAAGCTAGCTTGAGGGTGGGAGCTGTAAATGGCATTCTGTGCGGGACCCAGAATGGTGCCCATGGGAGCTGTACATGGCTTGTGGTGTGGGACCCAACATGGTGGGTTTCCTTTCGGTGTCCCTTTACCCCAGATGTCTTATTTGAGATATCGCCATCCCGACCAATAATTCCCAAGCGATACGTCAGGCCTTGAGACATCCGGAAGAGACGACCTCGGAAGAGAGCAAGGACGGATGCGTTTGGGGCAGTTCAGCTTGGGAGAAAACAAGCTTCAACATGAGCGTTTTGCCGGGATTTTAGATTTGATAGACAGCAACGTGCTTGGTCCTTTCGCATGCCATCATTTTACTGGGACTTTCAAGCACGAGTTATGCAAGTGGGGAACCTTGAATTCCGGACTGGTCCTGTTAAGCTACCAAGCAATCGCTATATCCCACAAGTGTATCGAGTGTGGTAGAAACTTCCCTGCCATGGTGCGTCTTTTTAGGTGGGAATATGTCAAAAACACGGGAGGGTGGGTTTCACAGGAAGCCACTGTTAAAGCATGTATAAATAATGCTGTCCATTTTTGCCACGCAGCCAGAGGATGCACGGGCTCGGCATGGTCTGCACGCATTCGTGACTGGGAGGTTCTTAGATTGGCGCGTTACCCTTCTGAAGCCTGTCGCTCACCGTATCGGGTGTGGCTGTGAGTCAAAACCCTGGCGGATGCGGCTAGGAGGGGTAGCCCTTTTGTTCAATACCCCGTTCAATACGCATTCAAAAGGTTGTTGGCTTGACGTACCTTGATCATCAAATGTTTCAGGAGATCGGGTTAAGTAGTCGATTAAGTTTCTAAAGCCGAGTGATCAGCGATGTTAGAACTTTCGTACTGCGGATTCCGAAGGCAGTGTTGAGAAGACAAAACTCCAGCGATCCACACCGCATGAGAGAGGCTTAGCGTGCAGCCGGCCTGACTTGCGTGTTCGTTCAATAGCCGGCCTCACAATCGCCGTTCTGGACACCACCCCCCTGCAATGCTGCCTATCTACTACTACTTCTAACTACCAGCTACTAGCTTCTACTCGTGATGCTAGCTGGCTTGGCACTAGCGTTTCTTGCAGCCGTTGCAGCTGCCCAACAGAACGCCATCCCAGAGGTCCGTTCAATAGCGAGGTTTAGACCCACACCCGTGCGTCAAAATAGGGCTCCAAAATGGTGCCATTCTTTCGGTTTCCCTCCAACACCGACTTGAAAAGGGAAGGGCGCCCTCCAAAAACAACATGTGACCCACATGGGTTCTCAAAAACCTAGGTGCACTCTTTCAGGTCTCCCCCTTTGAAAGGCCGCGGTCCACGCGCGCGGCGCCGGGGACATCGTCCACGTCGGGAGTTCGATGTCGATGTCGGCAGGCGCTGGAGGCCTTCGCGGAGCGGCTGCAGCGGCAACTCGCGGAGGAGCGGAAACCGGTGGGGCAGTTGGGCCGCTGGGAGGGCTGGTGGTTGGCCGGTGACCGAGCGAGCCGCTGGGTGGGTTTTTCCTCCCGGAAATTGGGGAGGGAGGGGAGGGGGAGCCAACCAAAAACCCGAAAAAACTTTGGTTCGCATTTTGCCGAGGGCTGTGAGGACTGAACAACTTGTTGCCAACGAATTTGGGGTTTTCCGAACTAAACCACTAAAAGTGGGTCACTTTTAGCAGGGGAGCAGAAAGCAACCGAGATATGGCGTGCAGACAGAGAGACAGACAGAGACAAACCCAAGATTAGTTGCGGACTTGGATGGCTATTTGAGGATTTCGGCGGTAGTGGGTAGCGGAGTAGTGGGGGATGGTGGTTGGTGGCACATAGGCAAGGGATTTGGTAGGCACGCGATTCCAATCACAACCAGCCGATGGCTTCCACTACCCTCCAAGCACCACCCAAGGAAACAGGGGTACACACCGAGTTGGAGGAGTGGGGCTGGTGGGGTAGTGGGTATCGGCTTTGGCCAGGTGGTGATTGCGGAGTGGGCAGAGGTGGTGGTTGGTGGGGCAATGAGTGGTAGGGGTCTCTGTGGACCAGTGGGTTGCTTCCTTTTGTCCACTTTCTTGGGTGTTTTGGGTTCCACTTTTTTACGTCAACCAAAGAAGGGAGTGGTGTCTTTTGCTGGGGAAGCGCAGCGATGTCTGCTCCAGTTGCTTGAGGCAGGATTCTGTCCTTGAGCGGCTCTCTGTTGCCCAGGCTTGTTTCCTTGTGTCAACCTGTTTTGGGGTTTTGGGTTCCCCTTTTTAACGTCAACCAACCAAAAGTGGCTGCCCTTTTCTTCCATGGAAATCCACTGGGCATCTGAGGGGTGGCGGAGTGGATTGGGGTTCCCTTGGCCCCTAGGCAAGGGAGTGTTTGGCAGGCGCGCCCGATCACCAGCTTCAAATAAATTCCACCGCCAAGTACCACCCAAAAGGGGCACAGGGGTACACACTCAGTTGGAGGAGTGGGGGTGGGGTAGTGGGTAGCGGCCTTTTGTGGCCAGGTGGTGATTGGCGGAGAGGGCAGGGGTGGTGGTTGGTGGAGTAGTGGCAGCGGAGGAGTGGGCTGGAGGGGGCGGAGCGGAGTGGTGGGGCAGTGGGTAGCGGAGCAGTGCAGGGTGGTGGGAGTGGAGTTGGCAGTGGGGGAAGCGGGTAGGGGTGGTGCGGGTGGGCAGGCGGGGTCGTCAGGGGTGGTGGGCAGGGTTGGAGCAGAGTAGTGGGTACAGCTGGCTGGTGGACTGGTGAGGCGTCCGCAATGGTGAGATCCAAGTGTAGAAGTTGAGACGACTTTCCTGTTGGGTGCGTATTTGCATGTTGGACCCTTTAGTTAACAGCATTTGGGGAGTCGTGTCTGCGAACCACTTTAAGCCCCTTTGGAGCGCCAGTATGTTTGGTGACTACTGAGGGGGGGGGAGTATGGTAGATAACAGACCTTGTGTGTGCCCCCAAGCATCGAACATTTAGCCAAACTGTGGTGACTGGCTATTCACCGACCGACGTGTCCAGACCATGTTGTTGGTCATCGAGACCGCGCGGTGATAGCTCAGTCATGTCATTGTTTGATGTGTGGTTGAGGCAGAAAAGTTTGGGTCTGGACACGTCTCAATCCATCCATCCATCCATCCATACATACATACATACATGCATACAGACACACTAACCAACCAACCAACCAACCAACCAACCAACCAACCAACCAACCAACCAACCAAGCAACCAACCAACCAACCAACCAACCAATCAACCAATAATCAACTCGATCGATCGATCGATCGATCAATCAATCAATCAATCAGTCAATCAATCAACCAATGAATGAATCAAACAACCAAACAATTAATGAACAACCAACATCAACCGATCAAGCAAGCAATCAAGCAAGCAATCAAGCAAGCAATAATCACTCAACCAGTCAATCAAGCAAGCAATCAAACAATCAAGCGTCAAACAGTCAAACAATGAAGTAATCAAGCAATCAATCGATCGATCGATCAAGCAAGCAAGCAAGCAAGCAAGAAAGCAAGAAAGCAATCAAACAATAAAGCCGGCAAGCAATCAAGCAATCCATCAGTCAGTCTGTCAGCAGTGAGGCAAGCAAGCAAGCAAGCAAGCAAGCCGAAAAACAAGCCGGCCAGCCGGCCAACCAACCAACCAGCCAGCCAGCCAGCCAGGCAACCAACCAACCAACCAACCAACCAGCCAACACAAGTGTTGAAGGATCAAAGCGTACAACAAAACTTGTTCATCCGTTGTTGACGATACTGCGCGATCTCTCTGTGCCATCTCATCACACTCTTGGCCCATTAATTTGCTCTTTGCCTCTTGAAACTACCTGGTGTGGTGCTTTGTTTTGTCACACATGGCTCGCTTTGGGACTATTTTGTTTCCTGCCCATGTTTGCAGATTGGCCAAAGGCGTGCAGCTATGAGTTAGCAAGTTTGAGTGGGCCGATGGCGGGCGCTTATGCTGCCAGCATTAATCGCCGGTCGTAAGTTTGACAGCCCTTCTTGCAATAGTGCAGCGCAAGAAGAGCATTACCCTATTAAGTACAGTCTCAGTGTATTGTGCTGTCGGCCCGAATTGCGTTAGCGTCGAAGACCCACTTCCATTTGCTTAAGAATATGTTTTTGGATCTTCCCCTGTGTTTCTTATTAATGGAATCTATGTACTGATCTTCCCTTTTTGTTTTATTATGGAAGCAAAAACACGATATACCGGAAAGGCACAATTTCCCCGACACCTCAGCCAATGTCTCCGGGCCAGACGCAGGCTCAAACCACCTCCAGGGCCTTGGAAGAGATCGTCAGCGCCCCATTGATGACTCCTGATCTGTGTGGGTGTGTCTTTCTTGGGGGAACCCTCGGTTGTCGTTGGGGAAACATTGGATACAATTTTGCTTATTGTGGTTTAGTGGTTGAAATCCCCACTTAGCTGCTAAAATTTTAATGTTTGCTCCCTGTCCAACGTCAACCAAGGTGTGAGTGTGTTTTTCCCGGAAGCATTGCGAAGGGTTCTTCTTCTAAAAGCGGCTGCCAACTTCACCTGCCAACTTCTCATGCCAACTTGTCGAGAGTTACTTCACCTGCCAACTTCTCATGCCAACTTGTCGAGAGTTACTTCACCTGCCAACTTCTCATGCCAACTTGTCGAGAGTTACTTCACCTGCCTACTTCTCATGTCAACTTTTTGAGAGTTACTTCACCTGCCAACTTCTCATGTCAACTTTTCGGCTGTTATCTCATTCTACTAAAAGCACAAGCTAATTTGTCGGGTGTTACTTCACTATCCTAAAAACACAAGCTAACTTTTCTGTTCTACCTTCACATCTCGACTCTTAATTCTTCTTCTTTTTATGGCGGGGGTAGGCCCGACGGGAGCTTACGAAACGCACCCCTCTGCGGAGATCGTGCGTGTCGAAGCGCTCTCGCTGTGGCGCCGTGCGAATTTGTCTTGACCTTGGCGAACCCTCTGCGGAGATCGTGCGTGTCGAAGCGCTCTCGCTGTGGCGCCGTGCGAATTTGTCTTGACGCGGCGAACCCTCTGCGGAGATCGTGCGTGTCGAAGCGCTCTCGCTGTGGCGCCGTGCGAATTTGTCTTGACCTTGGCGAACCCTCTGCGGAGATCGTGCGTGTCGAAGCGCTCTCGCTGTGGCGCCGTGCGAATTTGTCTTGACCTTGGCGAACCCTCTGCGGAGATCGTGCGTGTCGAAGCGCTCTCGCTGTGGCGCCGTGCGAATTTGTCTTGACCTTGGCGAACCCTCTGCGGAGATCGTGCGTGTCGAAGCGCTCTCGCTGTGGCGCCGTGCGAATTTGTCTTGACCTTGGCGAACCCTCTGCGGAGATCGTGCGTGTCGAAGCGCTCTCGCTGTGGCGCCGTGCGAATTTGTCTTGAGCCCGATGAACCCTCTGCGGGGATCGTGCGTGTCGGATCGCTCTCGCTGTGGCGCCGTGCGCATCTGTCTTGAGCCCGATGAACCCTCTGCGGAGATCGTGCGTGTCGAAGCGCTCTCGCTGTGGCGCCGTGCGATTTTCTTGCTCGCGAAACGGCTTTTGGAAGTTGTCTCGTGGTGTGCGCGCCTGCTTTCGCAATCCCGCGGTCCCGGGTTCGATTCCCCCCTGGTCCGCGGCAGCTCCGGCTTGAAAATCGCAGCTTTTAAGTACAAACGTAGTACGCGGAGCGTGCTCCTGCAGCTCCGGCTGGAAAATCGCAACTTTTAAGTACAGACGTAGTACGCGGAGGCTGCTGCAGCTCCGGCTGGAAAATCGCACTTTTTAAGTACAGACGTAGTACGCGGAGCGTGCTCCCGCAGCTCCGGCTGGAAAATCGCAACTTTTAGATACAAATGGCTGGAAAATCGCAACTGTAAATTGCAAATGTAGCACGCGGAGCGCCTCCGCCGCTCCAGCTTTTTGAGGGTTAATTACTTCACCTGCCAGTTTCTCATGCCGAAACTTCGAGAATTACTTCACCTGCCAGCTTCTCATGCCACCTTTTCGAGAGTTACTTCACCTGCCAACTTCTCGTGCCAACTTTTCGAGGAGTTACTTCACCTGCGAGCTTATCATGCCAACTTTTCGAGAGTTACTACACCTGCGAGCTTCTCATGCCAACTTTTCGAGAATTACTTTACCTGCCAACTTCTCATGCCAACTTTTCGAGAAATACTTTACCTGCCAACCTCTCGTGGCAACTTCACCTGCCAACTTTTCGAGAATTACTTCACCTGCCAACTTCTCATGCCAACTTTTCGAGAAATACTTTATCTGCCAACCTCTCGTGGCAACTTTTCGAAAAATTACTTCACCTGCCAGCTTCTCATGCCAACTTTTCGAGAGGTACTTCACCTGCCAACATCGCCTGCCAACTTTTCGAGAGTTACTTCGCCTGCCAACTTCTCGCGCCAACTTTTCGAGAATTACTTCGCCTGCCAACTTCTCATGCTAACTTTTCGAAAGTTACTTCACCTGCCGGCTTCTCACGCCAACTTTTCGAGAGTTACTTCACGCGCCATCTTCTCGTGCCAACTTTTCGAGAATTACTTCACCTGCCAGCTTCTCACGCCAACTTTTCGAGAGTTACTTCACCTGCCAACTTCTCATGCCAACTCTTTGAGAGTTATTTCACCTGCCAACTTCTCATGCCAACTTTTCTCTTGAGTTACTTCGCCTGCCAACTTCTCATGTCAACTTTGCGAGAATTACTTCACCCGCCAACTTTGCCAGCCAACTATTCGAGAGTTACTTAACCTGCCAGCTTCTCATGCCAACTTTTTGAGAATTGCTTCGCCTGCCAACTCCTCATGCTAACTTGGCGAGAGTTACCTCACCTGCATCAACTTGCCTCTATGCTTCCGGGCCACTCGTCGTCTAGTTGTTTTGGGGAACCGTCTTTTGGTTGGTTTGAGAGGGACGCCACAAGGAAAACCAAATAATTTGTGGCTGGTTGCATGGGGGCTTGGTGCCGTTTTTCTGTTGGTTGTAAAGGGAAGCCAAGAGGAGACCAATTCCGTTTTGGGCTGGGTGCACTAAGAAAAGACATCCCCATGTTCAGAAATCAATGGATGTCACGTGTATTCATGTCCCAGGTTTGACCATTTGTGTGTCGTTTGAGGACAAAGTTTGATCTTTTCGTCAGAAAGGTGGGGCCCGTGTCTGTTTTTGAGTTCATGCTTCCCGCTTGTGAATACCACAAGCCAACCGCAGGAGCCTTGGATGTAAAAGGACTCGGAATGAAAGTGGCTCAAAAACGTGGTACCAAAATGACACCTGGGTAAATGGATCCGAAGACTCCGAAGACTAAAACCTGCGTAACCGCAGCTCTTTAATTTTGAGCCAAAGCCGAATCTACAGGTTTTCCTTAGGGTTTCATGGTTCAGCCAGCTCCAAATACAGGCGACCAACTCCTGAAACGATGAATTGTGATGTCCTATGTCGGTATGTGGGTCTGTCTTGGTTTGTTGGTACCGTCTTTTGGTTTTCAAGGAACGCCACAAGAAAACCAACTTGAAAAAACACGAGAGTTTGGCCCGCTTTCTGCGCAACTGGCTCAACAACAGAGCTCAGGCGACGGCTCGGCAAGCAGAAAGAGCGCCACAGGTGGGGTCAGGGTCAACATGGTCGGCGTCCTTTTCAGTTGCCGCCTAAAACCAAAGGCCGGGTGCCCCGAAAACCCTCTACTCAGTTACTTGAAAGCCAACCTGTTGATCTTTTGGCTTTTCAGTTGCCTCTAAAAGCAAAGATGGGCTCCCCGAACATAGTTACAATCCGCTCGCCGATTTGGTTCTACGTGCCTCGAATTCTCTAAAGGTTGACTCCCCATTCTTGATCCTTGTCACCCATTAGTGTCTACCACCATAGTATCCCTGTTGCTTTGTTGCCATTCCCGAACATACGGATGTTGATGTTTGCAATTCCCCGTGTCTAAGATAATTAGGGTTGTACTGAAGATCTGGCCATTTGTGAGTTCGTTTTGAGGTATCAAGAACCAACATGTGCGTGCTCTGGAGTTTGATTGCCTAACGCCGCGTGCTTTACAATACATCTTGAACAGGTACCACCCCCTAAATCTTCGTTTGCGCACTTTTTTCTGCTCAAATGCTTGTTTGCGCGTTTTGTGGTGTCTTTGCGCGCTTTTTTTTGAATTTGCGCACTTTTGAGGGATTTGCGCACTTTTTGGATGAGACTCCTCTGGTAGCCAAAGTCGGTACTACTTGTGGAAACAATCGATACTGCGCTGCTCGTGCCCGTGCCGGCGCAGCTGTTTGTTGAAGTCCTTGATGATTGCAGCATATCTAGCTCTTCTTTTGTCTCCACCCAAGCCTGTTTTAGGCAGGAAATTTGTGGCACACATGGCATCCGGCACAAGTACCAGCTATCACTTGCACTTGACACTTTGTGGCCATTGATTTAGCAACCCGCTTGGCTTCGTCAATAGCTCCAAGCTCACAAGTATTGCCTGGGTTTGCACGGATCCGCTGTTTGCTCCAGAACTGTGCTTGCGCCGCACTTATTGTTGAGACAACTTGCCTATAGGTGAAATTAGTCGATTTTCGGCGCCTTGCCAGCCCGCAATTTGCGCGCAAAACTCCGGTACTATCGCGCAAATATCCGCAATTGCGCGCAAATGCGAAAAGTGTGCGCATGCGTGCGCGTTTTCGACCTTTTAATTAGGCAGAAGATGTCTAAAGCGCCCGAATTGCTAACCAAAAGATTGGTTTTGAGCCAAATGTGGTTGTCAGTTGAAGCTGCGCCACTTGGAAGAGCCGTTCGGATCTCTTGCAATCTCAAGGATCTGAAACTTGAATCCCTTGACTGTCAAGCTGGCTTGGCAATGTTGAAGGCTATTCACGACAACGCTCCGCAGGTCAATAGCCAAAATGCCCTTTGGTTCCTTGATTATCTAGGCGAGTTCTGGCCGAAAAGGCGCATGTATCCTTGCCTAGTTGTTTTTGAACAGCTTGACAGGTGCATGTCCAGGCTATACACACCCCGCACCTTTGCCCAAACCAGCAAAAAAAACCTCGCGCAGTTCTTGGAACTTTGCGCGTTTTATGATTGAAACGCGTACTTTTCCGTTGTGCGCACTTTTTTTTTGCTCAAATGAAGATGCATGCCCAAATATAGATGAGTTCACGTCGGAGCCTACTTAGTCAGAGCTTGGGGCAAAATACACGGTCCGACACACGAACAGCACCTCTCACACCGAGACGCAGATGGCGACTTGCCGCAACGGATCGCAGCGTGCTGACAGTTCTGCGCTAGCACTCGACTGGGTCGCTCAGACAACATAGAAGCCCTTGATGTGCCCAACCCCCATCCCCAAAAAGTTCAGCATGACCATCATATGTTCCTCCCCGGACATTTGAGTGCATCGTCATGTATTAAGCTGAGATCGAAGCCCTAGGCTCAATGATACATAGGTTCCTGCAAGACATTCGCGACTTCGGATTGATCCGGAGGACCAATCAGAGACATCTGCCATGAAAGATTCCAAACACCAAAAGGCGGCGGGGCACCCTGATTAGTATTGTCCAGATGAGCTTGTTCATAGGAAGCAGAGCTGGACAAAGCTTCATGTTGGCCCTGTCAATGTCCAGTTGCAACGGGATCGATTGGTTTCTGATTCCGGTGCCAGACTTCCCACGTGTTGGGGGGCGGGAGGGCTTGAGCTTGCTCGTACAACTTGACGGGATTGTCCGTCTGGGTGATGGCTAGGCCAGTCTTGGAATCAGGAGGTTGCGCAGGCCTTGTCAGGTTCCACTTTTTAAAAGGCGTGACCATGAGCAGCGACTGCAAGCATTTCTTCTGTCGGGAAACCCCACTGAGGTTGCCCTAAACTGGTTGGTGGTTTGGACTGTTGGTGGGCGGAGTTGAACCAATTCCCTCCCGGCCTTCGACCAGCAAAGCGTTGCGATCCGACAGGAAACCTGGAAGCCGTTGCTGAACGGTAACCACTTTGAGCCACTTCCAATTCCAGAAGAGGCGCGCTCGAAGTCAGGGGGGCCTGTTCAAGCACATTTCACAGGGTTTCTTTCAAGCTCCAGGTGATTGTTTTTGGGACTGGCACGCTTGAAGTTGGAAGGTGGGACTCCATGTCTCAAATATCTTGATCTTGTGATGCTTCCGCTTCCGAGACACGGGTTCAACCACTGTGAAAGAAACCAAACAGTCACCCCTCTTTTGGAGTTTTCCCCCAACTGAGGGCTTTGGGGTCTCTGCCCAAATAGTCTCTGGGGTGGTTTTCGGCCTTTTGGACTCCGGCTGACGTTTGTGTGTTGATTGGGTTGTTGCATTTTCCGGTGGATCTCCAGGTTGCTATCTTGGTCTCATGTTCTGGTCCTTTCGCTGGCAGATGGGAATATAGGAATATGTCAAAGAGCCGCGCAAAAGATGGCTGCTTTTTCTTGGCTCCCTTTCAACCACCCACAAAATGGGTACCCTCAAATGCAGACACACAAATACATTTATACACCTCAGACGTTCGTTCCAGGCAGAGCTGGACACGGACAAGGCGGGGACTTCGGATGCCGCGTACATCGGCAGTCTGCTTTCCCTTCTCCGGATAGAAAGGTTTTTTTTTTTGTTAAACTTCGAGTTCCGTTGTTTTCGGAAATAAGGGTTTTAACAAAATATGACTTCCATGGGTTTTTGCTTAGGGTGACCTGGAATTCCTGTTCCATTGTCGCGTGGCGAAAAGGCGAACTGGAGCGCTTCCATGACTCCAGGAAAGACGCTGCCTTTTGCTTTGTGGGTAAAACAAAGATGGGCTCCTTAGAAGATCTCCACTTTGCAACCATTTGAAAGATGTTGCTTTTTCCACACCAAAATAAAGTTGGAGTTGCCTCCATTGACAAGTCGCAGTGTTCAGGTGTATAATGTAAGGATCCCTGAACAAAGATGGCGGATTTGTGCCATCTACAGCCACCCAACCGTGTAATTGTAACGGAGTTGACGGGCACCTTGGGCAGGTGCGGGGCGGGGGTATTTCTCCATTGCCAGGGCCGGCCATGCGTGCTTCGCTTCTTTGCCGATTTCCTGCTTGGGTGCCTTCCTGGCAGGCTGCCGATGAGCTACAGGCCGGGTTCTCAGAGAGGACCGCAGGGTCGAGGTCTCACGTTGCCCTCAGGTCCGTCTCGCTTGATGCAAGGGTTGCCGCTTTGGTTCTTCTTCTTCTTTGTTTGGCATGTGCAGTTTCGGCTTTGCACGCTTCTTTGGAGTTTGAACGTGTGCCATTCGGTTTTGAATGGATTGTTGTTGCAAGATTCCTCAGTTCTGTAGTCACTGACCCCATCGTGGTATTTCGGTGTGTCTCTTTCCCAGAGTGCCCATTTTTAGTTGTTTTGAAGGGAACCCACAAGGAAAGCCGCTGCGCCAGGTTGAGCGGTCCCCAAAAAAAGGCGAAGCCACTCCTTCTAAGACTCCTTTGCTCCACGCCGCTTTTAGAGGCCGTCTGAGTCTCAATGCCAGGCGCCCCCAGCCAATGATGCTGCGAGCGGCGCGGTGGCGGCTTCCGCGGTGGAAGCGGAAGCGGACGTGGCGGCTTCCGCGGAAGGGGGGCTCGCAGGCAGGGTTTGAACCGGGCGGGTTGCGATGTTCTTACAGAGAGGGGGAGGGTTGTAACCATAGGTGTCCTTTTGATCTTTCAGTTGTGTTAGACATAGAGGGGTTTCACTGGTGTGGTATGCACCATTTACCAGGGCTATCTATTTTTTTACCAAAGGACACCTGTGGAGTTGTAACTCAACCTCGCTAATCAGCCCTTTTCAGATGCTTTTTGAAAGCAGGGGTTCCGTGCAGATTCAGAAATTTGACTGCAACCTTTTTAGCCACCTCAACAAATGGGTATGGGTCAAACCGCCAGGAATTGGACGGCAGCTTATAGTCCATGTTTCCATGTACCAGGCTTCCATTTTGGGGATTCCTATTTTTTACATCCACAGCCAACAAATGTCAAAAATAGGTCGTGGTTTCAGGTTGCCGAACTTGATTTCCAGCTTCAGTGCCTTCAGTTCCTGGTTTGCGGTCAAATGTCCTCCCTTTTGGAGAGATCATGGGGGGGAGTTTGCATGTACTTGGAGCCGACCAGATCTGGAGTTGTCAGGTTTTATTGATGGGAGCTGTGAGCTTGACTTTAGCAGATGTTCATTTGGGTGCTAGGTCCCCCAGCTAGGTGCCCTTTCTTACCCTTTTTTGGGGGGAGGGTTCCCCTACTAAAATAGACTACAGAAAAAATAATTGGTACCCTTATTCTAGCCTATCTACTGGAGAACCTAGGGTGTGTGTTTTCTTGTGGCTCCCCCTTGCTTGCCGCTCTTAGAATTGAAACCAAATGGAAACATTCATTTTGGGGTGAGCTTTCCCGAGAAAAACACATTTGTGTTTGCATAGCAAAATCACAATTCACATGGAAGCTGAAAAACACGGGGGGGGGGGTCGAATCCCAAACAGAGATTCCTCTTGAATGGGTTGTCGGCGTCCAGTTTCCATGGAGATAGGGAGACCATTCACATGAACTACTGGGAAGTCTATTGGCCTTGAGGCTGTGCGCTTTCCAAGTTTCTGGGAAATGGGTTGGGTGCGGCTTTGGTGGACCTACCCCTGGATGTAAAGCAAGTACCAAAAGAGAACTCAAAAAGGAACGTGCGGGGGAGAAAACGCATCCTTCCATTTGCTTAATGTTTGGTTCTTTCTGGATTTTAACGGGAATCAATTTCACTGCTGCCTGGATCTTCCAAATCATGGAAATTTCACGTAAAATCCGGAGACCACCAGTGTTTTTAGGGGCTCAGTGAACAAACACGGAGTTTTCAAACTCCTGGTTTTTGAGGCAAAACTCCTAGAAATTAATTGTCGCTTCTGGAAATGGTTTGCACACCTGAAACCCCTAGAAAGCGCAATGATTCGGTACTTGACGGAAGGAACTCTCCAATTCAGACATATTCCGAATCAGAATCATTCACCTGAATCAGAATCGTTCACCTGAATCAGAATTATTTATTCAGAATTCAGAATTAGTCTGAATTCGGAATTATTGCCTTTGGGCGACAAATTTGCAAAACCGGAAAGCACCACACCTGAAACTCAGCGCAAAACACCCGCAAAAAGCCCGCAGACTCCCGCAAAAACCCGCAAACTCTCGCAAATCAAAAAAGACGGAGTTTCAGGAGTGTGCGTAGTAAAATCAGTGGAATACCCACTCCAGTGCAGAGTTGCAGAATTCCTGGGATCTTGTACAGAGTTGCACAATTGCGCGCCCAAACAACGAAAAAAGACAACAAACTTGAATCCAATTGTTTCCCCCAAGAACCACTCCTAGTCCTGCTTTTTGATTCTTGCATTTGAAACACCTGAAACTCCTAGTTTTCAGAGGGTCTCCTGGAAATATCCCGGAGAACGGAAAAGCAAGACGGAGGACCCAGGTGGACATATTTTCTCGTGTTTGCCAGGGGACGAAAAAGCAAAAGGAAGCATCTAAGCCGCTGATCCAGGAAGCGACGCGCCGATCGACCAGGAGGACAGCGCCCGCTGGCAGCGACTTCGAGTTTGTTTAAGTCCCAAAAGAGCTTTTTTTGTCCCCCCGCCAGGTCCGTACATGTTCGGGGAGCAACAGATTCATCTAGAGAACGGTTTGGATGGGCGAATGTGGATCCACCCCTGGATATGACAGGAGTACGAGACTACTAAAAAATGAACCGACAGGGGGAGGAACAAGTGAATCCACAAAGCTCGCATCCAAGCCGTTTTCTAGAAGTCGACAGCACGGCAAAATGGAAGCCAAGCATTTTGAGGGGCCAGTGGTGACGAGCAATTGCCAATAGCAGCGATCTTTAGGAGATTCGACAAGAGCACGGGGTCACGAGTAGCTTGGAGCTACAAGCTTCAGGGGTGCGGCTTTTGGCTCCTGTAGGAAATCTCGTTTTTGTTACTGTACTCATACTCAAGAGACTTCATCTAGATTGTATATATATATAGATGTATGTATATATATATATATATACATATATGTATATGTAGAACATGCTGCGAATCTATATACATCTACTTCCAGGCTTGCAGGTCCCAACCAGACACGAGCCTTCAACAACGTGTGGCTAATCCTGCATTCTATCTGCGCATGTATCTTCTTGAAAGACTTGATACAGGGTTGTCTCTTCACGTGCTTGGCATGTTTGAGAAGGCCCCCGAACTGTTGTTGGTTTTGCCCCCGCCAGTTGTTACGTTGCTCTCTTGCAGGGTAGGTGTTGCGCGCACGCGATCTTGCTTGAGCTGGACCTTGTTTGCGTGTCTGGACATGTTTTGTTTTCCTATTTGCGTGGCAGCCATCTCCCTTTCCAGTGAAACTCCCACTCTGCATTTCTTTGCAAGAAATCCGGCTGCCAGTGACAGGGACTCCTCCCAAGACCATGTCAGTGCTTGGTCCACATCCTTCACTTGCTATTGTGGTCCGAGCCGAGGGCGGCCCGCAATGAACAGCATGTGGCTTGCGGGGCCCGGATTTCAAAGGTTTGCAAAAGGTACCGAAGGGAAGCCAGCCATGGAGGTTGTTTTCTTTTCTTCTTTGCCACCCCTTTCCAGGCAAGCCCTACTTGGGTTGGATTGATTTGGGTCCGGTTTGCACCCTAGATTCTTGTAGAGGGTAAATTGAAAGCCACCCAAGCACTCAACCAACTAATGTTGACCCCGGATTAATAAACCCCTGTTGATTAAGATGTCCCTGGTTTTAGTGGGGATTTTTCCTCACTTTTGGAGGTGAACGTGTTCCCCCATATGAATAAACTGGGGTTTATTACTCCGGGATCAACATTAGGGGATGCTGACCTTAGCGGTCGCCCGTTCTCTCTCTCAAGCCGCAAAGTACCCTCCAGTGACATCGCCAGGTCCCGGACCGGGCACCATCCTTTTCCCCCAAGAGAAGCCAGGCGCGGGCGCCAGGGCGCTTGGCAGACTCCGAATCTGCTTCCATATGCTGAAATGAAATAAAGTAGTGGACTGAACAATAAAGTACCTGCAATTTATGGGTTTAGATACTTCCATTTGCTGACATGAATATTTGTGCATTTCCCCGCTGGTGATGTTAAAGGTGAATCGCACTCTGGACATATGTTCTCATTTTTCCAGGGGACGAAAAAGCAAGTAGATGGATTCTTTGAGACGCAAAGGCCTTTGAGATCAATTGATGTCCGCGTGATTTTTCTGGCAAGCAAAGTAGGGGATGGCCATTCACCACCAAGACGGGAGGTTTCGAAGCCTGCTGGGTGGCTTCGTCTTCATATGCCGTCTATTGTATCGTTGGACCCTGCGGGGAAAAAATATCTCAGTCTTGGACTCCAGAAATTGACCATGGCCCGAATCGAGGAAGTCCCGAGCTTTTGGTTTCATCCTTGGTCTTGTCCGTATGGCAACATGAGGTGGGCACGGTTCGCCTTCTAGAGGCCATGCCACGTGCTGAGCAGATACCCCTTGCATCCCGCCGAATGAATGTAGCTATGTTAAGTTATATATTTGCTTCAGGCTCATTTTATATTGCGGCCTACCCTCTCTGGAATATTGCTGGGGTACTTGCCCAGCGGAGTGTTGGTAGTATTTGGTTGCTAAGTTTGGCCGATACTCGGTAATTTCTCAAGGATCATGATTTGACTGATCTTTTTTTGTCTCGCCCCCCTGTATAGCACCCAGGCATGTTTATTATACGTTCTTTTCTTCGGGACTCCGGAAGAGCAGAACTTGAGCGGCGCAGCTTTGGCTGAATCGACAGGCCATCAACGGGACGGGGACGCAACCGCCAAACGGAGCCTTGGCAAAAGCAGGCAGGCACCATGGGGGGGCTGGTGTGAGTGTGTGTGTGTGTGTGTGCGTGTGTACGTGTTCGTGTGAGTGTGTGTGTGTGTGTGCGCGTGTGTGTGTGTGTGTGTGTGTGGGTGCCTGGGTGCCTGGGTGCCTGGGTGCCTGGGTGCCTGGGTGCCTGGGTGCCTGGGTGCCTGGGTGCCTGGGTGTGCCGGAGTGCGATGGGTGCATGGGTTCGTGAGTGCGGGGAACTCTTACATGCGCCTGGGAGAGCAAACGGGCACACGGCAAGCTACAGCCCGGGCAGACCAGTCGTCAAATTGAGTTGGATGATCACTAGCCTTCGAGACATCGTTTTCTGGATGCTGTTCAGAGGAGGCATGACTACCCCCGTGTCTCCATGATTTACTTCCATTTGCTTAAGAATATGTTTTATCTTCTCCTTTTGGTTTTAAAGGGAATCGGTCACTACTGGAAGTATGTTTTATTTGTTTTTCCCCGGGGCTTAAGCAAAGAGAGGTTTATGCAAAGAGCTTCTTCGCCCTGCGAGATGTGAGGTGGGACAGCGGGCAAAGGTGACATCGCATCCAGCCCAAGGCACGCTCTTGCGGAGGTGTCGTCGGTGGGGGAGCCCTATGTAGAATTGGGGTAAAGAATATTCGACTGATGTTTCAGCTGGAATAGGTATCAAGTAATTATGGTGTGGGTTTCCTCTTCACATGAAGCAAGCGGGCTCATAATTACCCATCTCAATTCTTTGACTGAAATCAAGGAATCATGACATGTAATTGTAAGGTCCATGGCGTATCAACCGCTTCACCCCGGGAGTATTCATAATTATTCCGGGGTGGGCAGTAAATACGATGTCCGAAGGAATCTAGCGGAGGGGAGGGTAGCAAACAGGGGCTAGCAAATGGAACCCTTCAGGAGGGTGAGCCTCTATTTTGGACATCCGTTTTGTGTATTCTGTTGATTTCTCTTGGGATGCCCCCCTTGGCTGCCTTGGTGTCTATTGCGCAGGTCGGACAAAGCAAAGTTCGTGCCTCAGCGCGGGCATTTGGCGAAGCCTGATTTGGACCGGCGGGAACAAAGGCCAGCCAACCTTTTTGGCATGGTTCGAAGAAGGCCCGCCATTTGAGGTGACCCCTTTGGAGAAATGCAGTTGAACTTGACTGCTATTGGGTTACATCTTTAGACTTTAACTTTTCGGGAAATGAAGGTGGTTTCCACCAAACCCCCCAAAAAGTTGTCCACTTTTTGCAGGGAGGTCGTTGCAGCAACCAAGTGAACGAGTACCTGTTTAATGGCTCGTCCCACGTAGCAGCTGTGCGAAGCAGCCAGGGTGTCGCTGATTGCACGGCAATCCCCCAAATAGCTGGGACTAGGTCCCCCAGCAATTGGTGTCCCTTCTCACCAACTTTTTTGGTTGGGAGGGGTCCCCTACTAAAATAGACGTCCTGAAAAAAGTGGGTACCCTTATTCTAACCTCTCTACTGGAGGACCTAGGGGATGTCCCGAAAATCGCCATCACTGGGTTTTGTGTTTGTCAGTTTGAGAATGAGGTTTCAATCCCATCGCCCGAGATGTGTCCATGGAGCTTCTGCATGTTGCAAGTGAGCAGGCGAAGCTGTGATTCACTAGGGTTTGTTGCTTTCTTCCATTTGCCGAATACTGTTTTGTTGTTTTTTAACGGGAATCTATCACTCTTGGACATATGTTCATTTTTGTCCAGTGGGCTTAAGCAAATGGAAGCTTTACTTGCAAGATTGCAGAAGCATCGAGCAATAGCTAAGGCTGGGGCAAGCATTTCGAATCAAAGCCAGAAACTTTGCCGCACCGAGTTCTGATCATCTTTGGGAGTCGCGAGCTCGGGCGAAGTTCCGCCGCTTTCGCCGGTCGGCTGTTTGGAGGGGTGCCTGCTTGTGGCAGAATCGCCGGTCGGCAGATTCCGGCTTCAAGTTCAGAGAGACCCAGGCTATTTGTTTTTGTGATCAAGAGACTTGGGGACTGGCAGGGTCGACTGCCACTCATGAAGTGTGAATGGTACTTGACCCGCTCATTCTTGTCCCCCGACCAGTGACTGGAGTCAATTGGCAGATTCAAGTGGTGGAGAATGGTGGTGGAGCTGCTCGCCAAGGTATTAAAGAACAAAGTCTTGACTAGTTGGGCCAAAGGCAGCTTGTTCACTTGTGGGTAAGACCAAACTAGCTGCTGGTAACTAGCAGCAGAAAGAACGTTGACCTGTTTACCAGGATTTTGGCTCAGTCAGTCGAAATGGTGTGTTTGCAGGTGGGTCGGAACTTCTGTCGGTCTAACGGATAACGAGGCTTTGCCTGAAGGGAGAGATTGAAATCCGTCTTGCTAGATGAAGACGTGTTTGCACGTGTTAGTTCGATATCAGACATGTTGGGTCGGAATGGACAGGTGCTTCCTCAGTTAGATTGTCCAAGCATCGCATAGTTGTGTAGATGGCAATTTGTAATCGACAGTATGTTAATCGATCTTGCCACACAAAGATAAAGATGGGGGTGTCCAAAATTTGGACTCCGTTTGTAGTTGGCTTCGAGAGAAACAAAGGTAAGTCATCCACATGGTGGGTTTCCCATTGCTTGGACTCCCATGCGGAGCGCATGGAGGAGAGGATCCGAAAATTTGGACCCCTGTTCGGTTTAAAGGGAAACCAACATCAAACCAACCAGTTTTCGACCAGCTTCCTTTGTGTAGCTTCTTGTGGAAGCCCAGGGGAACTCATCCAGTCTTCCTTGGAACAGGTTCTGAGTGCAAGCACCCTATGAATTTTGACAGGGAACCTCCAAAATGGCCGGGCATCAGTCCCAACGTGATGTCCGCCAAAGACCACGGATTGAGCAATGCCCAAACCCCTCACCCCGTTGTAGGTGGCTCTACCCGCTTCAGGTTTCATAGAGTGCACGTCAACCTTTGCAACAGCTTTGTGTCATTGGACGCGTCCCAGGTGTGGAAGCATGACACGGCCATCAAATAGCCTGACCCATGGCTTATGATGTCACACCAAGACCCCTATCCACCATATTAGCATTTGGCTCTACTATGGCCAATTTATGAGGGATACCAGTAAAGTCTACGGAACGTTCTGGATGTGGCCACCCCCCCGCCCCCCCACCAAAAAAACAGAAAGAAAAAAGACCAAGAGCAATAAATAAGAAACGAGTATTAAAAAAAAGAAAAAGAAAGCACAACAAATGGCAGAACCACCCGTCGTGGGCTTAGTATTTGCCACCGAAATTTGGCCGCTCGCTTTCGCCGGTGGCAACCCCAGGTTTGTGGTGCAAGGGGCGCCGCTGGATGAGAGCGACACCGTGCGGAAGACCATGACCTGCTTCCCAGGCGCTCGAGTCGCTGAAACCATGCAACGATCCACATCATCCGAACAGAGACAACGGTACTTATGTTAGTGTTTTTTTTTGTTTGGGGGGGGGGGTTAAAGTCAGCTCACGGTGTTCCCCTGCAACCTGCCATTTGTAGGGCGAGTTTGAGAATGCCATTATTTTGGGCCAGAGAAAGCCAACCCGAACCGCTTGGTGGAGAGGCTGTTGGTTAAAGTTAAAGTGGGTTGTTCGAATTCGGATTCGGGATCCTCAAATTGAACAACCCAGTAAAAGGGTGGTTGTGCTAGATTTGGGAGCCAATATCTTTAAGTAGATATATGGTATAAGACAAGAACTATGTATATATATATATACACAACATATACATCCTGTAGTCTCGTTTCCGTATCCATTGACGGATATTGATCACTGGCAAAAGTCCAAACGCCGACCCCACCCACAATACCTTAAATTGACCTAGTACTAGACCAATACTGTACTCCTGCCAGTCCTTATTGTAAGGAGCGCTTTTAGCACTTCCCTCTTCACCAAAAGTGGCAAGTTGCATGTCATGTTTGGCCCTTGGGTCGCCTGGAACACATTTTTCGAATTGCCCAGTTGTTAGTTCTGCATTAAACATTTGCAATTTTGTCAGTTTTGTGCCTGGGAAGGGTGAAGGGCGAAGTGGAAATTCTATTGCACCCCTGGAACCCTTTTAAGGCATAGTTTGCCCAAACAACCATGTTTATTAGGGGGTGTCTTTCTTCAGGGATTTCATAGGGGGTGTCTTTCTTCAGGGCTCAATACCACCATGGTTTGCCTTTGGTTTCCCTTTAAAACCAACTCACTCACTCAAGTTCGCACGGAACCTCTGTGGGAGCAGCTGATGTCTTGGGGGGTTAAACCCAACGCAAAAGAGGGGTACCAACTCCAAAAGACGAGCCGCCCATTTGGCAGAGACCCGAGACGCGCGCTTTCGGTAGGGGATGCCATGGCGAAGCTGGCAGAGAACGGCGTGGCCTGTGCCCGAAACTCACTGACGAAGACGAAAGGTGGCAGGCACCATCTTTTTCTCGGTGGTTGGAGTTTTTGTTTCCCGGTGGTTGGAGTTGTTGGATTTGTTTGGATAACCAACTTTATTGGCATCAATACAAAAAGCGGTGGTTGAAGTTGGGCAAAGAAGGTGCGTTTTGCTCTTTGAAAGCCCGGCCAAGAGTAGGTGAGGTTGATGATGTTACTCGGACAAAAGGTTGCAAGCACCGGGTTTTGGTGGTTGGAGTTTGGATTTGGATCAAAGCAACCAATTTTATAGGCATCAAACAAATAGCAAACATATGGGTGTGGCTTGAAGTTCAAGAGATAGGGTTACGCAGGTTTTGGTGGTTGGGCAGGTGGCAAACGCCTTGGTTTTTTCGGTGGTTGGAGTTGGGCAAAAGGTGTGTTTTGCTCTTTGAGAACCCGGCCATGAGTAAAGAGCTGAGATTGCCAGAAGCTAGGTTGGCAGGCGCAGCTTCACTAGGCACACGGGGCATGTTGTTGGACATTGCAGCTGCTTGTTCAACAAACTTCGTCCACTCATGTCCACTCATGCGCGCACTCATGTCCACTCTTTTGTGGCTTTATTTGGGGCTGGAGTACTGCAACCTAAGTGTATGATAGCTTTTGCCTTTTGCTGTGTCGTTTAGACATGGAATTGGTGAGGGATCTCGGAGGTTCTTTTTGTCTCCAGAAGAAGCACCCTGAAATGTGGATGGTGGACGGACGTCAACCCTCTACTGATGTCCACCCAAAGACCCGTTTTCCAAAAAAGTACCGAATCATACCAATGTTCCCATTTGCTTTTCCTTCCTGCAGACTCCCACTTCTGTTCCCCGAGCATCGAGCTGCAAGGTCTGCGCTCGAGGGCATCGCGTGGATCCATCCGTGCCAAATCAAGATGACTTGGTGTGCCGTGGCTGAACGGGGCTACGGATTCAACGGGACACGTTACTCGAAAGATTGGGTTGTGATGCTGCATCGCCCAGCACGTGTCAGGTCCCCAAAGGACCATGGGTAGTCTGCCCCCCGTGGTTGAAATATGTTTTTTTTTGGTTTTGTCCAACCAATGGTCATCCCACGTATCACGTTTGATCAACCCCCGAACATACAGGCCCCAAAGCTTTCGGGCGAATTTCCGATGCCCTCTTCGAGTCAACACACAGGGGCCTGGTGGACCCAGTCAAGTCGAGGGCTTTGCTGGACCTGAACAACTTGTTGGGAACGCCATGTTCATTGATTCATGGCAAATGAACAGGATCTTGGTGGCTAGTAGAATGTTCAGACAATTTTTTGGGCTACAGAATAAAGAGTATATACCCTTATTCTAACCTCTCTACTGGAGGACCTAGTAGTGGTGCACAACATGTTCAGACCTTTTTTGTTGGGCCAGTGAGGAAGTGAGTTGGGCTCGTCTTGGTAGAAGCAATCAAGGACAGCGGGTCACTTTGAAGCCGGTGTTCAGTTTCTGGGGGTGTGCGTGATTCTGATGAACACCTGAGCCACAATCAAAACCCCTGGGTTGACCATTTGTGTACCGATCGGTTTTGATTGCGACTCACCTGGCATTTGGGTCTTCTGACTCGGCTTCGGGTTGCAGAAATCCGATTCTTCAGTCTCCCGGCTGACGCAACAGCGAGGCCCAAAATATGTGCCGAGAGTCCTGTGGCTGGGTGGATGTTTTTGCATCAAGAAACGGTTTTTCTAGAAAGAGGCGGTCCAGCCTCTGCCGCATTTCTCCGCATTGAACGCACACATCACCGAAGTGGAGGCACCATCAAAACTGCACCTCGGAACATCTGACCGAAGCTGTTCGGCCATCTCATGTCCTTTGTCCCGCAGCTCGCGTTATTTTGTTATTCCGCCGTTTTACCCGCCCAGGAATACCAGGCCTTCAGGGTTCTTGATCCTTTCTCCCCCCAACCGAACACACCGTGGAAGAATGAAGTCTGATGACGTTCGTAATTCTCGCCCCCTGTCCCCCTCTCCAACAAAATTGGGATTGAAACCAGTGGCTGGCAGCCGGCAGGCTTGCTATGTGCTCGTGGGGAGATGAAGGCCGGAAAGCGGAATTGCCGTAGGTCTTGGAGGGATGTAGGTTGTGCCTGAAATGGGGCTTGAGCGGTTTAAAGGCATGTTTGTGAAAGAGCTGGTTCAAAATCAATCTTTCAAAATCTTGATGCCACATAGTCAACTTTTCCCCACTTGGTGGCGAAAGTCCTCTCTTCTTGTGTGGTTCCCTGGTCTGTAACCGGACCTTTTGATCAACCCCTCTAGACCACATCTCCCATCTGCGGATTAGGATTTGGGGGCTTCGGAGATGGATCCTTCCCTTTAGAGTATCAGCCTCGGTACCTCCAAAGCCCTATACCCGACAATTGCTTTTCAAGGGCAAGGGCGGTTTAAGGTTCTTCTGGAGCTGACTGTTCGAACAACTTGTTCGAAGGACACGGCTGTAGAACATGAACACATACAGGGGTCAGTTGGACCCAGTAGCAAACCGGTTTTGAGCCGGTGGTCTGTACAGATGGCACCGCTGGCGTCCCTGGTAGACTCTTCCTCCCATCCTTTCCATGACTTGTTCCAAAATATTCTTTGAAGCTCCGTGCTGAAAATGTGGATTTGTCTCAGTACGCCTTGCGTAATCCTTACCAGTTCTTTCGTGCCAGGGGCTCTTTCAGGGGGGAAAAGCACCTGTATGGATTGAAACTTGTCATCTTTCATGGGACCAGTGTTTGCTTCGGGAGCCAAGCAAACATACACAGAGCCATCGCACTGGGACGGAGCCTCAATGGTTTAGACATATCCTTCATGGTGCCTGAAGGTTTTTTGGTTTCCATAGGCAAGGCCCCTCAAGCGGAGTGGCAAAACCGCGGAGGAAGCCACGTGATGGGTGAACTCCTGACCCCCTGGCCGCCTCCCGTTCTATGTTCATACCGGTCCCTCTCCCCGAAAAGGGGCAGATACCCCTAACGCGGAAGGGGAAACCAAGGAAACCAAGGGGTACTTCCACCCTTAGACAGTTATTATATGATCCATCAAAATGAATGTTTACTTCTCACAGCCGTTGTGGAATCCACCAAAAAATTGCAACTGAAGGGGAACTCCAGTGACCCTGGTAATCAGGGCTATTGCTTCCATATTTACTCACGAATAGGTTGTATTTTGCCTTGTTGGTTTTAAAGGGAATCTATAACTACTGTTGTTTTTTTGTTTTCCAGGCGGATTAAGCAAATGCAAGATTAGGTTCTCATTTTGGGGAAACAGGAGGAGTCGGGTTAGGGGAGCCGGGTGGGGTGTAAACAATACATCCAAGTGAGTGGCGCCAGATGGGACGGCCACACAGGAAGTCCAGCTCAAGTTGCCCAGCCCAACGGGCACTCAAATTGGGGCATAGCGAATCTCAGTGTGTCACAAAGGTTTTGGTTTGCAGTGCACTACAGAATATATTTATCATGATGCAGTGACTTTTATTTCAGAATGCGCGTGGCATCCGTGTCTGACAGTGCCCTAAGAACCCGTTTGGTCTCTATGAGTCTTCTCAATATTTGGAACCCCCGTTTGGATGTGGCTGTGGGTCAAAACCAATGGTACCATTTTGGGGTAGGTGCACTTTTGATCTACTTTGATGGGGATTGGGATGTTCACCGGGGGTACGATTTGGATTTTGACCCATGGCCATGTAGTCCAAGGGGAAGCAACAGCAGATCAGGGTTTCGCGGAGCCCACCATTCGGGAAAGATCTCTCGGATCTGAGAAGACTGGTGCATGCATACATGATGGTTGTTGGGCAACATGTTTCCCATGTTTGATCTTATTGTGGTGTAGTGGTTGAAATCCAAATCCACTTAACTGCTGACATTTGAGAATTGTTGCTCCCCAAACCCAATGTCAACCAAGGATACCCGAGCCTGCGAAACAGACCAGGATTTGGAGGGAATGCGCCTACCAGCAATTCCGCCAAAGTTTGAAGAAAGGACCCTAATGTCCAATGTGAATTATTCGAAGGGCTTCGGGGCTGGAATCCATGAGTTTCATTTTCCCTTGGGGAAGTCCAGGCTTGGTAGTTTCGGGACATACCGTTTGGTTTTAGTTGTTTTAAGTTGGTTTCGTGGTTTCCGAATTAAACCCACAAGCTAGTCACTTTTAGCAGGGCATTGATCGACAACGGAGAGCCACCAGACTCGCCACCGCTAGTGCCAGGCAAAGTGGCTCTCTACGGCGTCTTCGACGGGCACGGACCGGCTGGGCACAGATGCGCAGCCCTGGCGAGAGGCGACCTCCCAACCTCGCAGCCCCGTTGTTGTCTTGGTCCCCCAGCAATTGGTGCCCTTTCTCACCAACTTTTTTGGTTGGGAGGGTTCAGGACCCTACTAAAATAGACCAAAGAAAAACGGGTACCTTTGTTCTAACCTCTCTACTGGAGGACCTAGTTGTAAACAAGAATGCGAGCCTATTTGGTTGCCAAGCTGGGCGTTGCTCTTAAGCCTCTGAACATGAATTGCTTTTCTTTGTTTGTTTGTTTGGTTGGTTGTTTGTTTGGTTGGTCGGTTGTTTGTTGAGTTCATTCAATTGATCGGGGGCTGCCCAACAGACAGATCCTGTTGAGTCTGGCTGCCTATGTGCCAAAGGGTTTGGACGCAACCCAACCCACGAATCACCAGTGTTTCAGTGGAGATGTCTCGATCTAAGTGTTCCCGTGGACCAGCATTTTTGGGGAGAGCCCCGGAGAAGGTGCGACGTTGACCGTCAGTGCAGGACATCAGCATCCAAGGGGGGGTTGGTAACTGATATTCTCCAGCCAGATTCACGCAGGGCTTTAGACATGTTGAGAGGCCTTCTTGGCACCTCGCGGTCAACGAGAGAATGTGTGTGAAAACCAGCTGGACCCTTACTGATTGTTTATATATATATATATATATCTTTTGTGCCCCTTTCAGGGTTCGACAGATGTTGTCACATTCTAATCTTTTAGAACCTCTTTGTGAGTCAGGGTTTGTTTGTCCAATGGAAAATGAAACCTAAGTGACCCCCAATCAAAACCCGGGTAGATAAAGGTTAGTACTGGGTAATCCCCTTGCCATAAACGGGTGCCTTCCTCTTCTTAATTCTTGAAGCATGATTCTTGGATTATGACCTTTTCGCACCGATCGGTTTTGAGTTATGACTCGAGTGGGTGTCTCTTGTCTCTCAACAGCTAAAAAGGGTGCCAAACTCAAAATCAAGGCAAGGCCAGGCGACTTTTTTTTCTGCCGCTGAGGATGTTGATCCATATCTATAACTGTTGTCAAAAGTATTTGGCAACCCCAAAATGGGCTGCCCGATCGGTAAATCGAAACATGGAGAAAACCTGCGGTCCAGTTCCTGGTGTTGACTAAGTTTGATCCATTCCAATATATACCCACTATCTACATACGCAAACACTCAGATCGAATTACATTGGCCACTATCATGTGGATGTTTGGTCGGGGAAGACAAGAGGGCCCGCACACAAGATTCGGGAAGTCGAGCATCAGGTGACTTTGTCGGGTCTGGGTGTCAGAACAAATTGGATGATGGATGCCTCCGAGTACTGGATGACCTTGCGCCTTTGTGCTTTCCTCTCACCATCTAAGATCATGGAACTTGTCTTCCAGAAATGGAATCCGAGCATCAATTCTGAAACCAAAGATCCTGCAGATTTCCCCTGACGCGTTTTTAACATTTGGGGCCAGTTCACGGCTTTGTGTGATGCCTGCAGTCTTCATTTTTGGACCCTGAGTTCGGGTGAGTTGAGGCCTGTCACTCACCCGGGCCGGCGCAGGGGGGGGCCAACATATCCAAAAGCTCTGGTTTCGCATCAAGGCTGAACCCCGAAGGTGCTCCAAGATCGGTTGCTTTCCTCGTGTTTTTGTGTTCATGAAACTTACCCCAAATGGCTAGCCTCGAAATGGCTCAATGGTACCATTTTGGGGTAGGTGCACCGCTCTAAGTACAAGGTGAGGGACCTCGAGAAGCACAAGGACTCTTGGGAGCGGCACACAGCCTTCTGCAGGCAGAATAGGGATGCCATCAATGCGGCGGTCTGTATTCCAGCTGGAAGCGGGGTGGAGGCGGCGCGCAGGATCCTGCTCGAGGCAGCCCGATCCACTCTAGTAACCCCGCTGGATGTATTACTTGGAGATACAGGACAAGCTTCTGGCATGGCCAAAGGGCTTGCCGTGGACGGATCTGCAGCTGGAGGCGAAGCCTTTTCCTCGTCCAGCGAGAGTCCCTCCCCTGACTCGGGAGCGCAAAGCTCGTTTCAACAAAAGGCCGCACAGCCAGCCTCTGCACAAGGATCAAAGCATTTTAGCGGGGATTGGGATGTTCACCGGGGGCTAACCGGGATTTTGACCCACAGCCAAATGGGGGACACACCCGGCTACTTTCGCCAGGCTTTCTCCCCGAGCGCATCTTCGCCGATCCGGATCTGCTCAGCTCCCCTCAAGAGGCGCCGAGGATAAAGCGCTGCATCTGACGAGCACGTCTCGGGGATTAAAGCGCAATGAGTGTGGGAGGCCGGAAATTTGGCGCCGGCTTCTGTGATATAAAAACAAAAACCCTGCAAATAAGTGACCAACTCGGCCAACATTTGTCACACGAAGGGCTATTGCTCACACTGGGAGAGAACGAGCTTACCCGTGCAGTTCTCTTACTTTCAGAATCGTGATTTCCTATTTGTAAGGTCTAGTTTTTTGCCCAGATGTGTTGCCTCAAACCCCTCTTTTGGATGGCTTCCAAGAGAAGCCAATAGCACACCAAGCCTTTGACTGAGAGGAGTCCAACTCATCTTGAGACAGTTTGCGCTGCCACACACGTAGAGACATTCACACAGACAAAATACCCGCAGACACACACACACACACTCTGCGCCAGTTCGGTGCAATGGCAATTGGGGTCGACAACTGCCACGGCCTGTCGAAAACCGTTTATTTGTGACCTGCGTTTCAGTTGCATGTTGTGCCCGGCAGCCCTCAATCGGGGGTTTTGCATTGGGGCTCTCTAAGAATAGAGGAAGGCCCCCCCAACTTCCGAATCAAAAACAACCTCAGCAACTGATTGCGCATGGATTTGCAAAGCTTCCTAAGGCTGCGGCATCTGCGTTGGCACCTGGAATTTGGTATACTCTGTTGCCCAAAGCCGACCTTTTGACCTTTTGGTTTCTCCTTTTTTGGTCTAGTTTTAGTCATGACCCCAAAAGGATAACCTTTTATTTCTGGGTCCTTTGGGCGAGTGAGTATATGTAAGGTGTGATGAAAGCCTGAAAGCTACATCCATGGACCCTGGGTAGATGCCCCTCTCCGGTGCCTGGGCACAGTACACAAACGCGGGTTAAAGCCAAAGCCGGGCAAAACACAAGGGGAGGAAACGGGTACCGTCAACGGGAAAACCCGTTTTTTGTTTTGGTTTTTTCTTCCTTTCCCCCCCCCCCAAGCCAAAGAAGATGCGATTGGAATCTGGTCGACTCGGTTGGGATTTCCCAGTGCCCCTGTCAGATGGGTCTCCAATCCACTGCAACAAGCATGTGTTTGGTTTTCCGCCCCTTTCCAAGGCACGCGCGTACAACAAAAACCGTTTTTTTTTGTTTTTTTCTTTTCTCGGTTTTCTGCCCATGGCCACAAACGGTTCTTTTGGCCACTGGTCTCCCATGCGCTGGCCACTTGTTCTGGGGTTTCCGTTGGGCTCAGCGAAGTTCTACGCCAGGTGCTGAAGGTGGCCTTTGCAGAGGCGCAGCAAGAGATGCTGAGGCGCGCAGCGCAGCTTCTGCAGCTCTCCCGAGCGTTGCTTTGAAAAACGCGAATTTTATTTCGGGCGGGTTGAAGGGCCCAGTAGTGCCCTCAAATCGCTGTTTTGGTTGGGAGGGTTCCCCTAAAGTAGACTACAGAAAAAAGTTGGTACCCTTATTCTAACCTCTCTACTGGAGGACCTAGCATTCTGTGGACGGACAAAACTCAGTAGTTAGGTATAGCGTGCACGCAGGTTCTTAAGGGCTGTATATTGAGGTGCTTGAAGTTAGAACGCCGACCTTTTTGGGTCCCTTGTCGAGACATGAAAATGCCCATGTTTCGTCTTACAGAACAGGACTATGTGGCTCAGCCAAAAGGGCTGCTGGAATCTCGGCCAGTTCTTACTTGCCATAGCTGAAAGAAACACCCATGCGGCTACGTCAAAACTGACAAAAAAACAATCTGGCTACGTCATACGTTCGTGAACCTGCGGAAATGGTTGTTTCACCCGTGCACCCACATGATCCCCAGATGTATCAGCTAGGTAAAGGGTATGCAGCGATATACGATGTTCCTTGCTGGCTCTCGGGGCTTAGGGGAATGACCTCTATAAGCTATCGTTCCTAGTCTTATTACTTTGTGGATCCCAAAGTTCATTCCCAACCCTTCCCGTGCGAATCTTCATGTAAACAGCGCCCACAGCCCCCACAAGCCATACTAGGTGGCTCTACCTGGCAAACACGGATTATTGCAAAGCCTGTATAGAAAAGTATATCATCCCATACATACATACATACGTACGTACGTACATACATACATTCATACATACATGTATATATATATATATATACATACATTTATATTTAAGACCCCAAAATCAATGGGTGTTGGCCTCTCACGATCAAATCAGGCAGGAGCCCTCAGACGCCTTCAGCAGCGGCTGCACGGCCACGGTGTGCCTGGTCCTTCAAGAAGGCGGCGGCAACGCGCTGGCGCTCAATAACTTTGGATGGGTATCATGGCTTTGGTGCATTTTGCTTGGCTGTTAGGACTTTAACTTTTTACCAACTAATGGGTTTTCCTCTAAACCACTATCGTGGGTATCATGCGTATGATGGGTATCATGGCTGTGATGGGTATCATAGGTATCGTGGGTGTGAATAACTTTGGATTAAGCCCCAGGAGCCTCGCAGGAACCCCCAGATAGATGGGTTCTTTAAAGGTGAACCACTTCCTCCCTCCAGAGGAATCCGAAATGAACGTGAGTAGGGGTCTTTCCTACGGGGTTTGTGAACAACTTCATGAACTTGTTTCGCAAGCTGACTTTCAACTATTAGGTTGTGTTCTTTTCACCAGTTGCGGTTCATCCCAATGAACAGCCCACAGCCGAGTCTGTGAGCTTCCTGTGAGCAGTGATCAACTATCTTGAGGGCTTGACCAAACTAGGTCCAGTAGTGCCCTTTTACCCTTTTTCGTGGGAGGGTTCCCCAAACGAAAATAAACTACAGAAAAATGGTTACCCTTATTCTATCCTCTCTACCGGAGGACCTAGCTAAATATGACGCATGGTTTGCAGGCTTACTTGGGGTATAGCCGCTAGCCAACAGGTGATGACTTCGAAGCACCGCTTTCCGGAGTCCAGCAAAACCCGGATCCCGGTGCCAAATCTCGCGGACAGCTTACCCATGAAGGAGTCCCTTCTTGCCCCCTGGAACTGTGGCTGCTCTTCTGCGGGTTTTTGTCAAATCTCTTCAGGCTTGAGTTCCGAAGACCTGGAATCCAGCGCGGGGGAGCGCTGGCCTTTCTCGACCGCTCGAAGGGTCACCGGACAGCTGGGCATTGGAGAGATGAGATTGACACGATCATCCAAAAGCAGCCCTCCCTCCAGACTCACAGATTGTCAAAGCTGCGTGTAGCTCAAAGAAACCTTGGGAAAAAGGTCAAACTTTCCAGGAGTCGTCCGTTTGACATGGGCTTGGTACCTTTCTTGCAGCCTTCCCTTTGCGATGGCTCGCGGAGTTCCCCTCCTGCGCGGAAATTGACACGATCATCCAAAAGCAGCCCTCGCGCGGAATGAGCATTTGGATCATCTTTGCCAGGCCCCGGACAGAAGCTGGAGCCGGGAGCAAAGAATTGGAAGTTGGATTTCTGGGGTTTGTTGTACGATTTGGCGTCTCCAGGTGTTTGTCGTTCGATTTCTTTTGGGGTACCCGTCTTTACCCCCCCCCCCAACCTGTTTGATAAGCCCATGAACTAAAAGGTATAAATGCTTGTTGTGAAATATTGTAGATGAAGCAATTGCATCCAACTTCCACCAACACCACCACCACTAGTGCTAGTAGTAGTACTTGTTCTTGCACTGGTATGTGTACTGGTACTACTACTACCACCACTACTACTACCACCACCACTACTACTACCACCACTACTACTACCACCACCACTACTACTACCACCACTACTACTACTACCACCACCACTACTACTACCACTACTACTACTACTACTACCACCACCACTACTACTACCACTACTACTACCACCACTACTTCTACTGCTACTTCTACTACTACTACTACTGCTGCTACTACTACTACTATTACTGCTGCTACTACTACTACCACCACCTACTACTACAACTACGCCTACTACTCTGACTATACTACTACCAACCACCACCACCACCACCACCACCACCACCACTACTACTACTAGCACTAGTACTAGTACCTCGTATTAGTACTACTACTACTACTACCACTACCACTACCACTACCACTTCTTCCCTTGTTCCCGTACTATGTTTCAGGACTCCACCATGTGTTTTGTTGGCACCATCAAAAGAGGGCCCCCTGATCGTTGGGATCACATCGATGGGTCATGCGGCCAGTTGCGCATTGGATGCGTCGTGCTCACTCAGGATTCCAAGGTTTGACCTGCCAGGTCAATGAGCCTTTCAGAATTTCATTTCCCCTGAATCGCTCTGTGTCAAAGCTCTTACCCAGAGCGCATTTGGGCATGAATTTTATGGAGCCTTTGGTGAACATCAGACTTCGGGGATTCATGGCCACCACTTTGGAGCTGAAGCCGACTCTCAACAACCACTTGCATCGTGGGCTCATACTGTCGGTGGACAAAATCCACTTCGCATCAGTTGGGATGGATTAAACCCTATACTGGGATAAACCACCAATCCGGATCGCGGAAGTTGTTCACCCGCAGTAGGAAAGAGAACACATTGCTTCCTAAGGGGCAAGAAGTCTCCGCCCGGCATCTCCGCTGCGCCCCGAGATGTTTGATGGACAGGGGTGGGTCAGGCGCAGGCCTCTGGGGGGTTTCCTTCTCAGCCTTCATTGAGGATTTAAGGAACCCAACCAAAGAGGCCGGATGAGTTCAATCGGTATAGGCCCAATGTCTATGGTGGGTCAAAGTCAGATTTGATTTCATGTGAAGAACTTTCGCATAAGTGTGATCAAATCTCCCTCCAGATAGGCCTAGCTGCGTGAAGTCAATTGTCCCGGCTGATTTGTTTGGGCCCCCGGAACCTTGCGGGTTTTGAAGTTGCAAAACAAATGCTTGGGAAGAGGGACAGTCCAAGCGTAGCATGAACAGGTGCAGCTATTTTGTTGATTTTGTTCAACAGTGTTGGGTAGATTTCATGAGTACCCCAATGTTTACATTTCTTGAGAGACGATCAGCGAGCTTGGCCAGATGTTGGCTGGGTCACCTATTTCGTCCTATCCTTTGCTCGCTGAACAGATGTCGGCTAGTAAGGACGCCCTGTGACAAGGACTTGAAAAGGGTGGATCAAATTCGCGGGTGTGGCAGCTTGGCCCTTAACGGAACGAGAGACAATGGTGAGTGCGGAAGCGTGATGATGGATTGATCCCTTTCCAGTTGCAACAAGCGAGTTGTTCTTCTTGCCACTTTCTTAAGCCTTTGAGTGCTTCCCTCCATGATATGGCAAACCTACGCCTGTGAGTTGTTGTCCGCGGCTGGGCAAGTAAGCCTTAGCTTTCTCGTAAAACGAGTGTTGTCCCACCAAGCAGCAACTGGTTTCATGTGTTTGGAACGGCGACAATCGACAAGAATCGTGGAGCGGCTTGCAGTAGTCAAATACCCCTCAATTGGTGGTTTGGATTGGTGGTTTGGGGATTTGAACCCCTGGTTCTTGTGCCCAATCCTAACCACCAAACCACCAATTAGAGGGAAGTTGACCAAAGATGTTGTTGTCGATTTGTTTTTTTCTTGCGACCATGACTTCCATTTGCTGAAATGTTTTGTTCCCCCTGTTAGTTTTGAAGGGAATCTATCACTACTGGAAACATGGGTATGGGTCAACATTAAACCAACAGGGGACCGCAGGTTGAAGTCCATGTTTCCATTTGCCAGGGTTCCATTTTGGGTACTTATTTTTGATCCACAGCCATATTTTGAGATTTTTCCGAGGGCGAGAAGGCAAATGGAAGGTGCCCATGACCCAGGTCCACACGGCTCACGTGGGGGATTCGCGTGCCATCGTGGCTGGAGCCTGAAGCCGTTGGGGCGAGGGCTTCAGAAGTTACGCCAGCAACGCTCAAGCCCACTCGCTTGCCCAAAGCGAATCCACCTTCTGACCTCTTCGGCCCCAAAAGGTGAACCTTTGCAAAATGCCCTATGGAATGGATGCATGGTGGACATGGACCCTCCATCCGTCCATCCTTCTTTCTGACCTTCCACCTTCTCACCTTATTTCTGGGTCCTTTGCGCTGAGAACAAAGACTCCACATCCCGTCCGAAGGGCACCTTATGCAGTTTCGCGATGCTTACACATCAGCACGCTCCTACATCCACTGCTATCCCGTTTGGGTATGATGTTGCACCTTTTGGAGGTTCTCCATGGACTGATTTGGGTCTTGCTGATGAGCCACGGTCAAACCTATTCATTCCGGCAGGGGCTGGTGGAGCTTGAATGTGCTACATCAAGTATTCCGTCAAGTACGCCTGCCAAAACGACAATTCTCCCATGTGGGGGGTTGATGTTTTTTTCTTCTCAAATCAAGCTGCTTCAAAAACAAAAACAACATGCCCCCCTCATTTGGGCACTCTCTTCAAAAAACAACCGCCACAGCGACACACACACACAATCGACAGCTGCGTCTTGCCGAGCCGAGGCAAAGGTGGGAGATGGCCCGAGCGGGAAGTGCTTTATCGTCAGGGACCCGGAATATACTGCAAAGAGCCTGGACGTTGGTGTGTTCTGATTGTCTATTTTTTTTGTGTGTTTTGTTTGTGCGTGTTTTTTTTTTTTTTTTTTTTTTTTTCTGATTGGTTTTATGGTTTGTTGTTTGTTTGTGTATTTGTTGTTTTGTTTCCCTGATCGGTTTTTGTTTTGTCTTTCTTTGTTTTGTTTTGTTTTGTGCGTTTCTTTTTTTGTCTGATCAGTTTTCTTGTTTGTTTTGCTTTTGTGTGTGGTTTGTATTCTGATTGGTTTTCTGTGTTTTTTTGTTTGTTTTCTGATTGGGTTTCCGTTTTTTTTGGTTGTTGTGTGTGTGTGTGTTTCCTGTTTGGTTGTCTGTTGTGTTGTGTATTTTGCGTTTGTGTTGTTGTCTGATTGTATTTGTTTTCTTCTGATTGTTTGTTTGCTTTCCTGGTTGTTTGTTTGTTTCTTTATTTATTTTTGTAATGGCTACTTATCTGGAAACGGGTCTTCAAGGACTTTAACTTTTTGGTTGAACTGGATTTGCCGAAATGGAACCACACAAGCAAGAAACGCTTTTTGCAAAGGGGTCAACAGCAATCAGGTTGTTGTGCTTGTGTTTCCGCCGGTGAATTGGCGTGGGTATCCCAGTCTTCCTGTACCGAGGTCGGGTTTTTCTTAAAAAAACTGGGTCCCTTTATTCAGCTTAATTGGTGGTTTTCCATTTACCTTCTACAAAAGCCATGGGTTGAAATCCCAATCCAACAATCCAAACCACCAACTAAGGTTCGCCTGATTTATGGGTTGGTCTGAAAGGTACACCAAACAAAACAAGCCGTGTTCAATGATGAAGCCTTATCGACAGACTTCTGGGTAGTCGCTTGTGGAAGGCAATCCACTTGAACCGCGGTCTCGCAGCCGTACCACCCTGACTTGCTTAACGCCGACCTTGTGGGCCCCAAAAGTCAAAGCTGTTACACTACTTAGACCTCGAAGATGCACCTTGATGCAGTGAGGGGGATATAGAAGGGCCCCAGAGACCAATCACTTGCATCTGGTTTCATCAAACAACTGTCAAAGACTTGAGCCTTCTGCCGCCGAAAGTGGTTGCCACCCCGGTGCTTTGCAGCTGTCGCCTACGAGTGAGAACCTGCGCCACACTTCTCTCTGGGAGGCGGACACTTGAAGATCTCCCAACCCCACCTTATTCTCGTTGGTTTTGGACTACATAGGGCGTAACAAGGCCTTGTTCGGGTTTGCTAGGCTAGGCATACCAAAAGATGGCATCATGCCAATGGAGTCCCGATTGGAGGGAAATGAGCTTAGCAATACCGGTGGCTTGAGATGAAGAATTTGCACAATCAGGTGCCCCCCAAGGTAGGTACCTCTCGGCCCGTTAAAAGAGTGTTTCCCTACTGCCCACCACCATGTAATCCCGTGAGGTGGGTCCCTAGACGGAAGTCCCCCACTTCTCGGTCCATGAGAGAAACGAAGCTCTGCCATGGTAGACGCGCTCCATTTCGAGGTAAAGGAGCTCACTCGGGACCATCGCCCTGATGACGAGCAGGAGGCAACGAAGAAACGTGACGATCTGCCCTTCACTTCCTGAGTTCATGGACTTTCTACTTTTCGGGTTTGGACGTTTGGACAATTCTAATGGCAAAGCAACAGTTTACACTGTTGTTTGGCCAGTCCACTGAAGAAGTGAGGCCCAGAGATAATCCTCAGGACCACATCCGTCAAAACAGGCGGGCTCCAATGTTAGCAGGCAGGAGTCGAAGACGTTCTGCTAGGGCAGTTGAAGATGCCAGGTGCTACAGTCCGTCCATTGCCAGATTTGATTCAGTGGCCCAAAGCCGATGTCTTCATCTGTTGTTCCCCTTTTGGGCCATGTTCAGTTACAACCTCAAAAGGTTAGCGGCTCCCGACAGATCCAGCGGCCTTAGTTGTTTTTTCTCGAGTTGTTTTCTGGGTTATCCCTCGCAAAGCTTGCAAGAGGTGGTCGCCGGACAAACCATGATGTCAATTTGGGAGCTGGACTTCAAACGTTTGTGGATGGCTAGGTCCCCCAGTAGTGTCCTTCTATCCTTTTTTGGGGGGAGGGTTCCCCTACTAAAATAGACTACAGAAAAAAAGGCTACCCTAAAGGCGTCTGGCTCCAAGGTCTTTCGCCTCAGGGTTCTGGGCACCCGGGGCGTGGCGACTCCTCCCTGGAGCGTCACGCGTCTACTAAGGTGGATACCCATCTCCGCCGCCCCGCCTTTGCTCCTGTGGCCGCCACCCCGCTGCCCTTGCCCTTTGCCTTCCTGGCTCTTGTGCGTGCTTGGGCTTTTGCGGTGTGGCTGTTGGCTCCTGCCATGTTGACGCGTGACCCTCTTGTCTTGCGTGCTCTGGGCTCCTTGTCGGACCGCGCCCTTGGCTCCCTCGATGGCCTGATCGAGCAGGGCACCTTCTTCCAGAGTGCCGAGCCTCTCATGTGGCATGGGCAGGCCCTGATTCAGTTCCGGGTTGATGCCCAAACTGGCGATTCCACCTGGGAGTGTTCCCTCTTCTCTCCCGGCCTACCGCCTGATTTGCATGCTACCCCACGTGCTCGGCGCCTTCTTTTCACGTTTGAGCTCCGGGCTCCTAGCTTCTTTCAGGCCTTGCTGCAGCCGGGTGAGCAGCACTTTCGTGCCTTTGGGGTCACCCTTCAACCTGGCACCATCCCCCGTGTGGCACGGGTTGAGGAGGATACGGCCGTATGGAGGATCGGGGACCCTGTGCCGGCTGAACCGCTCTCGGTCACCCATCTCTTTGCTGGCGCCTTCCATGGTTGGGGTCAGGCCCTGGAATGCATTTGCAGGTCCCTTGGTCTTGAGGTCGCCCATGAGGTCCTGGTGGACAACTCCCCGATCGTGGTTTCAGCCCAGGCGGCCACCCTGCACATTGAGGCTGTGCAGTTGCAACGGATGTCTAGCTGGGTTCCGACCCCTGCGCATGTGGCGGTCCTGGCCGACGTTGGTGACACGTCGCTCCTCCATGTTGTCCCCTGGACTGGATGCCACGTGGCCACTGCCTCTCCCCCGTGTCCCCCTTGGTCTCGTGCCTCCTCACTGGATGGTCTGGAGGTCCCCGCTGGTGTTTGTTTCCTGGAGACCATGTTGTGGGCCCGGCGTGCCGCTCCTTTGGCACTGTTGATGGAGTGTGTGGATGCTCTCCCTGTTCACCCTCACTACCCCATGATCCGGCATGACGTGGAGGTGCCGCCCTCCCAGCCTGTTGTGCTCTTCCAGGACCCCTCTCCGGTCCCTTGGACGCATGAGTCCTTCCAGGTTCAGGAAGCCCCTGAGATCGACCACGTGCGTCTCCTTGATGCCGCCACCCTGCCGTACTACACCAATCCTGCATACCTTGCAGGGGCGGGACTTGAGAGCTCGCGTGATGTCCTCCTGAGTCGCATCCCCTCTCCCGACGCTCCTCTGCGTACCCTTTGTGCCAGGTACAGCCAACAGCACCTGCTGGCTGCGGACACACTTGCCGACCGAGGGCTTTTTGCCCAGCTCACTTACCTTGATGAGCGGCCTGCCTTCCTCTCACCTGCCCAGTGGGCATTATGGCTGGGTGCCACTCGCCCCCTTGTACTCCTCCCACCCTTGGAGGATGTGTTTGCTGGTCTTGGCAACTCTATTTCGGTCCCTCAAGCTGCCATCCCTTGGGCCATCATGCTGAGCCTTTTTGGGCTCGTGCCGCATGAGCCCGAACCCCTTGTGCTGCAGGTTTGGAGGAGTCGCATGTGGGGACCACATCTCCATGCTGCCCTAGTCAGGGTTGGTACTACATCGGCCCGCTGGGGCCCCTGCTGGACTTCGCCCTCCATCCACAGGTTGCTCAAAGGGCTAACCTCCACTCTACTTTGCCTATCGCTTGGGCATTGCCCGCACCGCCATCTACTCACCGGGCGGTTTTCGGGTCGAAGTTACGTATCCTGTTGGTGCCACTGTCGCTCTTGTCCTCTTCACTGCTCGTGTGCCACCTGTGGTCTTCCCTCATGTTGCTCTCTCTTCCTTTGCCAGAGTCTGGGATCTCCGCGAGCCTGCCCATGACCTCACGGGCCACATTTTCACCGTGGTCCCGGCACAGGAGCCTGAGGAGTTGGAACCACAGCCTACTCCGGTTCCAATGTTCCCTCCCCAGGTCACGGTCCATTTCCACGACCCACTGCGGAGGGAACACTCTAGGAGTGTCCCACAACACGTTACTCTTCGGCAAGTCATTTCCCCTGCCCGACCGCCTTCTCATGCATGTGCGACCCTACATCCAGGGACGTGGCGTTCCCGACACAGACCCGGTCAGCCGCTGGCAGGACGCCCATGTCACCCTCCGCCTGTTTCCTTTGCCTGGAGGCGGAGCGGGCTCACGCTCTCCTGCTCTTTCTGAGCCCCCTTCTGAGGATGAAGAGATGGTACCTGAGGACCCTTTGGCTCGATGCGATCCGTGGGCCTCTCCCCCGGGCCTCCCTGGCCCTATGCGGTTCTCCACTCGTCAGGCCGACCCCATGCCAAATGGGAGGACCTTTCGCTCCCCCCCTCCCATGCCTTTGGGCTTGTTGGAGATGATGATGTCCCAGCTTTGGTCCCCAGAGGCCAACTTGGACCTCTGGTTTCTGGCCTGGCCTTCTGCCCCGTCAGTGTCCTCGCTGAAAGCCTTCGCTTGCAGGTTGTTGGCCCCACTGCCCTTATCGTTCCTGGCAATTCTAGAACCACTCTGCCTTCCCTGCCTTCCCACCTTGCGGTCGAAGGGCCCATGCAAATCAGTGTTCTGGATGCTCAGGCCGGGACCACTTACAAGCGCCAGGTCCTGCTTGTCCATCTCATTCCTGGCATCGTCTACCGGCCGGCCACTGCTGATGCGGTCATCATCGACACTGATGATTTCGTTGAGCTTGTTGAGGTCTTCGAGAAACTTGCCGCCGACTTCCCGGCTTATGTCGGGCGCTCTATGTCGGACCTTCGCGGCCTGCTTGAAGGTTTTCTCCCTGAGGGTGCGTTGCAGTCCTGCTACGCCCTCAGAATCCTGCAGGGCTCTCCGCATGGTCTTGGCCGAGTCTTTCAGATCACCCTGAAAGTCCCACTCCGGCTTCGACTTGCATGTCTGAGGCTCTCTGGCACCAGCTCTCACTTTGTCCGTGATTTCCTGGCACGAGGCAACGACCCCCTTGATCATTCCATTGTGCACAGGTTCTGGCCGCTCACCCCTGATGGTACTCGCTCTGCACTGGCGGTCACCCGCGCCCTTGAGGGCTTCGCTGGCCTTGCCCCTTTGAAGCGTGGCCTGGTTGTACGCATCCTCAACGCTCACCTTGCGGCTGCCCGTCGGGCCCTCCTGCAGGATGACCCCCGTTTTTGTGAGGCCAACCGAGCCTTGGTCCCTAGGGTTAACTACCTCGCCGAGGGTCTGCCCTTTGGGGCCACGCCTGGTGCCATCTCGGAGGCTGTCCTCAAGGCTGTCGGGGTCCCCTGCATACCCCTCCGTTCTTTTCGGAGGAACGGCATCTTGGTCTGGGTCCTCGCTTTCGGACAGGATCCGCCCTTGTTGGAGTTCCCCCTGCTCTCTGCGGGCCGTCCCTGTGAGGTACTCCTTGCCTTGGAGCCACCTGCCTCCTCTCGAGCTAAGACTGGCCGGCCTTCTGGACCACGGCAACGCCCAAGCCGCATTGCCCTTGCTGACACCCAGACCTCGGGTGCCACCTCAGGACCACCGAAGGCTGAGACCCCACGCGTTGATGCCCTTGAGGCGCGACTTGGCGGTTTGGAAGCCAAGCAGGACTCCCTTGCTGATAAGGTTGAGACCCAGTTCTCGCAGGTCTCTGCTCAGCTCTCCCGCATCCTGGGAGCTGTCTCCAAGCCCGGCCGTGCCTGTTCCCCTGAGCCGGCCCCGGCCTTCAAGGCCGCCCGACTGGGCGCCTAGCCTGACCCTGCTTTGGGGCCCCTGCGGCCCCGTTGGTTCTTCACAGCCCCCCCCCTGCCCGGGGGGCCTGTGCACTTGGTCTTCTTAAAGGGGAGCTTTCCTCCTTTGCCCTTATGCCCCATGGTTTCGCCATGGCTACGGGGCCCTGTGTGGTCTTTCCCCCCTTTGGTTTTTTGTGCTGTGGTGCAGCAGTGTCGATGCTTGTGGGCACTTGCGGTGGGGCCGCACTGTCCATCTGGTCTCTCTGTGCTGTGGGTGCTGTCTTCCGCTCCCCAGCTGGGCAGCTCCCACCCTTTTTACTCAGTTTTGCTTTGACGCCACTCTTGGCTTCCCTGGCGAAGGGCCTCTCACATTTCATTCGCACAATGTTGGTTCTTTCTTGGCGCACCTGGATTTGCTTGACCGTCCTGTCGATGTTCTTCTGATGCAGGAGGCCCGCCTGTCGGCGGACAACATTCGCACTGCCCGTTTTCGGGCCCATGAGGCCAACCGCCAGCTTACCCCTGGTCCCCTCCTGCCCATCACGGCGGACGTCAATGGTGTCCGAAGAGTGGAGTGGGGAGGCCTCGCTGTCCTTTCTCAGGCGTGCGTTGTTTACGACTTCGATGCCTCGAAGGACGT